AGCCCCGTGTGTGCTCAAGAAGAGATTAGGGAACCTCCGCGGGCAAAGCCAATGTTGCCCCCTGCAGCTGGTTTAAAACACAAGCAGCCTTTAAACATAGAAACTCAACACGAAGCATGGGGAGAGGATGACTGGGTTCACAGAGCCGCCAGCCTGCGCCGAGTCTTTTGTGTCGCTTCTCCACACCTTTAACGGTCAGCTGCCGCGATTGGTCGAGCCGCCGTGATGTCACACCCGTGTAACAATGGCCACCTGATCCGAGATAGCGTTTCTTTTTTTTTCTTCCGCCAGCTCGTGGCTCCGCTGCTCCGTATCGCCCGGTTCTGAGCGCTAAACCTCTCCACAGTTCACCTGCTGCGCGCACCTGATTTAGTTTCACTTCACAAAAATCGCTGTAAATCGCATTTTTGTCAATCTTAATTGATTTCCTCAGCTGTGCTCCCAAGTTTCCGCTCGACGCCATCATTAGTTTCCCGAGGCAGCGGAAGATTGTTTTGCTACTTTAATGTCTTGACCTTCTGGAAACCCTTGAGATTTTTTTTTTCCCTTTAGTTTTCTGGAGGACAGCTTCTACAGAAGCTCTCCCTTAAAGGCTACTGTGGGAAAGGTTGCCGCTTTTTACCATGTCACCCTCAGAAAGGATTAAGGAAATGCCTCCTAAAGGTCAGAGTTGAAACCTGTTGTGTTTTCTTTGTAGGAGCTCAATGTGTGAAGCAACTTTTACCAGGTAACGCTCAGGAAACCCTCCTGAAATTTTGAGACAGACCTTCACTTTGGGAGCTTGGGGAGCATTGATGAAACGGTACAACGATTTTCAATGTTCCTGAAAATCTTGAGCAACCTTCACAATGTGACACGAAGAGGACTGAAACGTTCCCAGCTGTGTCCCGAGAGACTCTGGGAAAATGTTCCTGGAGAAACCGTGGCAGCCTTCAAAGTTTCCCTTGCACGCAACTTTGCTAAATGTTGACCAGTTGCACCTCAGCAGCTTGTGGGAGCTTTTCCTGTGTGACATGCATGAAATCTTAAGAAATTATATTTAAAAGTGTCCTAAAAAAAAGTGCATCTACCATTGGGAAAACCTGGGAAATCCTTGCAACGTCTACCTTGAATACATAGTGAACAATCGGTAGAGCATTCTCTAAACGCAGCAAATATCCCAGCATGACATATAACTAGTCTTAACCTGTTGTAACCTGCACAATGCGACATAAAAAAAAAAAAAAAAGCTTCACCTAAAGATTACGGCTTATAACCTTTAGAGAACCTTTGCGGAAGACATCCAGAAGATTCACTGAAGATTAGAAAGCCTGTAACTCCAGGAAAGTTATTATTTATTTGTTTGATTTTTTTGTTTGGTTTTTTTCTTTCTGAAGGTGCAACTTTTAGGGAAACAGTTTTCTGCTGGCGGGGGGTTTGGTTATGTCTGCCAGTCGGAGAAACGTTTAGCTGCGTTTCCAATGAAATGCAATGGAAATGAAAATGCCACAAAGAAACAACGAAAACAGTTTCTCAGACTTTTGCCAGGCCTCGACATGACGTTGACGTTTTTGAGGTGTTTTATGACAGATGGCTCCTGTAAATGTTCATTTTTTCAACAGTTTCTTCATGTGTTTCAAACGCTCTCTTTAGGAAACTGAAAACGTATCACAAATGATTCAACCAAACTATGAAACCAGTGAGGTTGGCTTTGCAATATTTGACAACTTCGAACTGAGAGATCAACACTTGGCTCTCATTTTCAGACACGCAGCTCAGAGGACAGCGTTATTAGAAAAGAACCGGGAACACGTGACTGGCAGGTATTTGTTGATGCTCCAGGTGTGTCATTTTCCACCAATCATTCAAACAATAAATCATCCTTAATGTCTACTCACCGTCGGGTTCCGCCTGTTCACATTGCATTTATATTTAGATGTGTTGCTAAAGGGGGGGGGGGGGTAACAACTGAATGTCCTGAAGGCAAAAACAGAAACCACAGAACAGAGACACGAGAAAGAGAGATCCAGCAGAAAACAACAGAAACATTGTGAGAGCTTTAAAAAAAAAAAAAAAAAACACTAAACATCTGTGACATCTGCAGCAACCTCCAGAGGGCAGGGGGTGAAGACGGCGCAGTCTGCTGGGGCCACACCAGAAGACGCCGCGCCACTAATTAGCAAGAGGAACATGAAGGCCAGAGTGTAATTATCCAAAACGTTCAGAGAGGCGAGGCTCAGAAACGAATCGGTAAAGTCTTACAGATGCGACAAACTTTTGCTAAAGTCACGGAAAGCTTGGAGAAAGACCCGATCCCTGCAAACTCAAACACAAAAGGGAGGAAGTATCATGATTTGGGCTTCTGTTTTTTTTTTTTTTTTCATTTGAACCGACTGGCAGCAACTGCAATAACAGAAAAAACAACTTTGACACTTAAAAAAAAAGGGATGCACACAATACAGTCGGTGATATGGAGTTAGAATTTAATCGCAGTGTTTTGCGGAACTATTGTGCTACGATATTGTGTGTTTATTCTTTCTTTTTTTTTTTTGAGGTAACTATATGGCTGTGCGTGCGTGGCACGACATTCAAACACAAAGTGTTCTTGAAAAACCTTCCCATTTGAAAATTGGCTTCTTCAGGGTGAAAATTGCTTCAGTGTGTGTTATTCATACCAGTACACTGCGAACAGAAGCTGCAATTTAAGTGATATTTTCAAACGCGGCGATATTTAAAGATCCTCCTGTGGAGCAAAAAGAGGAGAAAAAAGTCAAACGAAAAAGACAGTTTTGGAAAATATCTATAATAGTGTCGGTTCTGTTTAACATCGGCGATTGAAATTTGGTGAGACGAGAAATTCAAATTATTATTAGGATAAGAAGTTTTTCACAATAAATAGTGAACGGCCATAAGAGAGAGAGCCTTCATTATGCAGGAGGATACCAACTCAAAACACGCTGCAGACCTTACAGAGCATTTTATCTGCTGAGGAGACTGAAAACAAAGAAAAGAAAAGGCCCAATTTGACAGCTCAAACCTAAACCAGCTGTTGGCTCTAATTTATCGCAGCTAAGTTGATCTTTTAAGGAAACAAACTCATCCCTGACTGGAACAACAGAGTCGTGCCCCGGCTTCACGCTCAGGGTCACATCCGGATCGTGTCTGGAGCAGCGCTGCTGCTCTCGACGAAAGCCAGGCGGGTCGGAGCAGGTTTATGACGAGCCGCCGAGCGACCACAGGAAGGATGGCGTGTTTAGACACATACTACCTTTTAAAGCGTAAATGTTTACCGTCACGCTTCCTGCAAGCCCATGAGTCAAGTCCAACCGGAGCCAGCGTGAGTCGTCTCATCCCTCGTGTCACCATTATCCCTCCGGTTATGATCATTGAATTATCCGGGCGATCTGCTCTGTTGGTGGTGCACCAGTTAAACGATTGTTTAGTGGGATGGAGGGGGTGGGGGGTCGGTCAGAGCGGCTGCCTGTCAGGGTCACAACGCTGCAGGCACGGCAGCGGGGGTCAGAGGTCAGAGTGACATGGCGTAACCACGACGTTCTTGTCATTCGGTAGAAAATGAATGCGAAGTCGGCTCTTTGAATTGGCTTTTAATGTAAGTTTGAATGGAACTTTTGCATTGAAAAGTCCTTGTTTTCCAAAATATTGCTGAGTTGACACTTTTGGTAGACTTTGGATGCGACTTTCAATGCAAATTTTCTTAAAAGTGCCTTTGTTTGCAGAAAGACACTTCGTGACATGAACGTTCATGAAGAATCCTTCATGTTCATAACAGGTATGTCATGTTTATGACAGTGTCTTATGCACACAAATAAAGTGTGCATCAGGTTATTGCTCTTTTTGAATGTTGCATTCATATTTCAACCATCTCTCTTCATAACTCCATCCACTTTGTGCAAAACAGCAGCATGAGGGTGGCACCGCAACGCTTGAAAATATGTCACCGTTTCTCCAAACTAACTTCACGTGATTGTGGCCAAACAGCAGATTCTGTCTCATTTTTCCAGAAGACTTTTCGGCTTTTCCACGGTGGGCCACTGCAGATTTCAGCTGCAGATCTGGGAGCAGGAATCTTTTTTGCTTGGCTGGCGTTTTATCTCAGCTGACAGTAAACTCGCTTCACCGTCACCGAGAGTCGACTCGGGTGAGGGGAGTTTTCTTATTAAACGGAAAGCAAAGCGTTTGAGACACATTTTATCCCGTCATTAACAGCTGATGATGTGAAACGAGACAGTTATTACAAACGTCCTGGAAGTGATGATATTCTGTTGCAGCTCAGCAATTAATCTACAAAATATCTGTGAACTCAGTAACAAATAAAAACCTGATCAAATCATTTACGAAACAGAAACTTCTGCTCCACACAAGTAGTATTACAAACATTTTTGTCTCTGCACCAAACTGATTTTGTGACATCAGTGACGTTTGAAGGAGACGTCCGTGGTTCTCGCCGGTGGATGGTAAGGGGGCATCCAGGGTTAAACCCTGCAGGACGGCGCCGCCACGCCAAACCCGCGCCCCGATTTTCCCGCCGAGGGACAAATGGCGCAAAACCACCGAGTTTCCGGAGCCCGTTTTTATGGCAGATCTGTGCAACAGTGGTTCTTTAACGTGATGACCAATTTCCTTCTCTTTAAGAGTCAGACGTTTGAAATTAGAACGGGGTGTACAAAACAGATCCAAAACACTCATTAAAACACACACACATTTCTTGAACTCTGTTGAAAGCAATCGAGTGTAATTGAAAACCTGATTGGTGCCAGAAAACCCACCGAGTTAAAAGAACTTCTCTAGTTTTACTAAAATGTGTTTTTTTTAATAGGTCAGTCAAATTGACAATAAATTTCAGCTTATGCATCTCGTTCTTCTTAAAAACAATTAAAAGCCCCAAAATTTCCAACACTTCTACCAAATCACGACTTTACGTAAACCTCTTAAAGCACACACACACACACACAAACATTCGCACATTCGCAAGTGTTTACAATGAAGCACATGTGAGACTGTTAAATTTTCAAAGTTTTTTTTGTTTTGTTTGGTTTCAAAATAAAGATCACACAATTGTTTAGAGACAATCTACAACAGGAGTTACAAAAAATAGTTGCCCAGGCAATAAGCATACACAGGTTCTGTTAACTATACACATATGGTTACAGGTGTGCTCGTAGTAAATATACACAAGGCTGCTCCAAATGTACACCGCCGCCGTGGCGGGCCGCCTCTCTCACCCAAAAGGACATGTATGATACAGCACTTACAGCACTAGAGAGAGAAAAAGAAAAAAAAAGAAAAGAAAAGCCAAAAAACACAAGAATCTCCTCTGTACAATCCATGGATTTACCCCCAGAAACCGGTTGTGGTGTCAACTCAGGAGCTGAGTGGGTTTGAATCAGTGAAGCTTCAGAAAGCCACGCCAACCGGCGTGCCTGTACACAAACGTTTTGCGGGGGGTAAAGCACTCCTATAAAAAGATCTTTTTTTTTCTTTTCGTTTCATAAAAAAAAAAAAAAAAGACAAAAAGAATCTTCAACGTAAGCCAGAAGACACCACCAAGTCAAACAGAACGTGTCCAATTGGGAGTCAGTGGGAGACCAACGTCTTTTTAAGTTAAGCAGTGACATGATAAAGATAAAACCAAGCGTGGCGAATCTTTGTACAAGTACTACGCTGTATAGAAAGGGCTTTTCAAAACAAAGATTTGATATTACAATTTACAATATACAACAACTCATATGTCACAACCAATGAGGTGAGAATATACACTGAAATGCACAGATTCTTTTTTTTTTCTAGTGATTTTTTTTTTGTGTCTTTTTTCTTCTCATACCAAAAAAGGGTGGTAAAGCACTTTTACATTACAAGGGTTTACAAATGTACAATTATACAGTCAGAAGTATGTGGTCACTACTAGGATACATTATAGATACAGATTCAACATCAAAAACCAGAAAAAACTACAAAGTTTTATATATATATATTTATATATATATGCAAAGGTCTACACCAAGTATACACGTTATATTTATAGAAGCAAGACCAGAAAACGAATCTCCCATGCTAAATGATCTGTCTGCTGGTTAAGCCGATGGCGTGTGTGAATTTGTCTATGATTCGGTGACGTCGGACAAATTAAATACTCCATCTCATAGTGGTAAATATCTTCACTGGGGCGAGGCGGAGGAGGACGGGGGAACCGGGATTGTGTGCAGCAGTAGCAAAAAAAAAGTGAAATGATTAAAGTTCATCAGAAACAACAACAACAACAAAAAAAGTGGGGCTTAAAAGGAGAAAGAAAAAGAAGAGTAGATCAGGTATCGTCTCTTTTATCTCCACCCCTCTCTGTCTCTGCGTCGCCCACTTCGGCAGGTTGGGCCTCGATGGGGGAGGGGTGACAGAAAAAACAAAATCCAAGGCTGCCTGCCGTCTTCAGAGGCTGGAGGGGGAGTTTTCTGAAGGATCTGAGAAGGGGCAGCTGAGGTGGATAGAGGGGAGCTGAGAGGTGGGGCAGGGCAGGGCGGAGCTGAGGTGGGGTGCACATGATTTCGGGTTTGGTTGTGGGGGAAAGACGGTGGCTCTCACATGATGCCGTTAGGAGGACCACAGATCGGGCCGAGGTCGACGCCGTTCTTCATGTAGTACTTCTCCAGCTTGGCGAGGATGTGTTTGCCGTACGTGTACTTCCTCAGGGTCTGGATGTGGGGCCGGATCTGGGCCGACAGGGAGAGACACGCCCGTTAGTCACACCGGGTTTCTACCGCGAAACGATTCACGGCAGTAAGGAGGTCACACTCTGATGGACAAACCAGGACCTGCAGCAAAGACACTGGCCTTTCTTTTTCTTCCTTTACGTCAGAGCAAAAAAGGGTGGTAAAGTTTGATGAAAATAAAACGGAGGATTTACCAGCTGCTATTAAAACAGCCATTGGAACAAAACATCAGCAAACTGAAGCCAATAACCCTTTAACAGAATCAATAACAGTGATCCCACCACCTGTCCAAATGTAACTTTCTAGATTTTTTTTTTGCAAGGCTGCAACTTCAGATCAGAACAATTTCCTATAATTCATTAATAAAGATACTTTACAGTATTTGTGAGATCTGATCACAAATAAAATATAAAGTGCCAATGTTTTCAAGGTTTTAAGCTTTATCTGAGAAGGGTAAAAGAAGAGGGGCTTTTTTCATCATTGTTTTTGAAAACAATGTGAATTAATCAATGTTTTCTGTCAGCAACTAATCAGTAGGATAAAAATCTATCTTGTAGGTGGAAAATTAATGACTAATTATCTAATTAAATAATAACCTATTTTTAAAAAATCAGCAAACAAAATCTGGAAATTAAAATCTTTTTCCACAATCATTCTCTGTTTATCAGACTAAAAAATTTAAATTCAAAAAATAAAATTCAATTCTGCAGCGTATAAGGAGATCTGGTTGGCTTACTATAAGTAAGCCAACCTTTTAAAACAATTACCTAGTAGCGCTTTAGGAATTTAGGAAAAAAATAATAAAAATAGACGGCAGAAAAGACAAAAATGTGTTATACAAAACTATTTCCTAAGCGCCTTCAGACTAACTGTTGGCTCCTCGTGATGTAAGCCACTTAAGCTTTCTAGTTTCATTTTTACATTTAAATGCAAAATGCATCATTTGCACACGTTTAATAATGTTGCATTTTAACACAAAATACAGTGAGGAGAAGAGTAGAAACAAATGTTTTATAAAGCCGATGCAGGAAGGCTTTAGAGGAAACGCGTCACAAATACCTCCGACTAAATGACACACGCATCCTTTCACTGACCTTATGCATGACGATTTTGCGCTGTGTGGGTTCGGCCACGTCGATCATCTTCTGCACCACGTAGTTGGCATACTGGTCCTTCATCATGGTGTATAAGGCACTGTGGGGACCCTCAGTCAGGCTGCACACCTCGTCTATCAGCAGCGCCCGTTCTGCCCGAGACGCGTGGGTCACACACTTCTCTACCACGTTGCTGAGGGAAACAGAGAGACGGGGCGACCCGTCAGGATGAGACAGACAGACAAGACTATGCTGGGAATATTTGTTTATTTCAGTATTTTCACATCAACTCTTTTAGCAGAGAAGCACAAAGGTGGTGAGTTCTTCAACAAACGTGTGCACTCATCTTTAAAACCACAGTTCCTCCTTCCGCTTAATTTTCCATAACTATGTCTGGATATAGAATTCAACAAACTATTAAATGCTGAAAATCACACGAGAGGAAATGACAGATGACTAAAAAGCATTTCTCTATTAAAATCTCTTTAAAAATGTTCTTATTTATTATTCTAGACTAGACTTAAAGTTTTCTTCTGTTGTAAGCCGTAATGAGAAACTTACTTTTGTGCTTTAATCTTCTAATTTATTATCCCGTACATGCATGCTGAGCTCATGCCAAAGGAAACATCCAGTCATGTGCAGACACACACAAAGACACTAAAAGCTGCTGACTCAATGTGCTACTTGTGCTGCAGAGGATCTACTGTGTGTGGATGTTTGATTCAGAGTAACAGGCCCCAGCAGAGCAACACAACACCCTGCAGGCCAAATAAAAAAATAAAACAAAAACACACTGGTGAAAAGAGAACTCATTTTCAGGTGTGGCTGCCATTATAGAGAAAAGAAAGGGGAAAAAAAAAAAAACCTGGAATAATGTGGAGAAACGTGCTGGGAGTGGAATTTACCTGGCAAACTTGTGCTGGCTGAGTCCCAGGACGTTGCCTCTTATTTCAGCCACGATCTTGCTCTTATCCTCGGCCCGGCCGTGCTCCAGAACGTGCTGGATGACGTAGTTCCCATACTGGTCCTGAATCAAAACCAAACCGCAAATACTTTCAAGCAAAAGGCGAGGCGGACAGCTGGGGGATCCGACGTCACGTCGGACGCTGCCAGATTCTGAAAATCCGGAGGCTCAGAGCGAGGAGAGGAGTCACCCTGAACAGCATTTGTTGTTTGTATATATATGTGTGTGTGTGTGCGTGCGTGTGTTTTACCTGCACTAGCTGCTCTGTGTGCTGATGGAGCTCCTCCAGTATAGGCAGCGTCTGTTCGGGAAGGCAGTGTTCGAGAATACGTTGGATGACTCGGCAGCCATATGGGTGAGTAGAGAGGGCGAAGACCTGCGACGGGAGTAATTATTCTTCGTTAGTCATTTCCCTTACTCACACACACTCACACACACACACACGCACACACACACGCACGCAGACACGATAAGGCTGAGGTGAGTAAGCGCCGCACTAATGTTCTCTTTCTAAAAATATTTTCACGTGGCGCAGAAAGGAGCTGCAGCAACAGATTTATCTGAGCCTGTTCCTTCACATGCCGAGCCCGGGCCTGCACAGGGGAAGGTGAAAACAAATTCCTTCACCGCTTCCAGCTACGTAAACAAATCTCAGCAACCAAGCGGAAAATATGCAGTTACACGACAGACGCATGCAAGAGACACCACACAAATCAGTGACATTTGCTGTCATGACTGAAAGCTTTCATATGAACTCAATCGCTTCCTGGTCATCTCCTGCACCATGTGGTGGACGAACTGGTCCAACAGTACTCACAGCCCATAGATTTATGCACATTTTGAGAGGTTACAGCAACAGACTGCTGCCGATATAATTGGGAACAAAAGTGATGCGTGGTTAAGTCTGTCACAATAGCCAATTAAACAATTAATCAGTTAATTGCCTGATGAATTGATTTCCCTTGTGATAATATTTTTTGGGAGCAATTTTGTTGAAAGACTTAATTTTTTTTATTAATGGTTCCAGATGTGTGTGTGTGTGTAATTTCTTTTTATTTTATTTTTATTTATTGCTTTTTCTTATGTTTCCTTATTTTGGGGTTATTTAAAAGATTTTCAAGTTCCCAGTGTATTAGGTGTTCTTTGCAAAATTTTAGCTTATTGATCTTATGATTATCCAATTATCAATATATTTATGAAAATGGTCTCAAAACAACAATATTATATTTTATTGCAATCATTTCTGGGACAGTTTAACATACTGGAGAGCATCTGTAAGCCAAAGTCAAATTGTCAAGCCTTGCCACAATCACCTCACATTCATCTTTTATCTTTGACGGCACCATTCTTAAACTTTCTAGTTTCTAGTTTAGGTCCTGAATGACCCTAAAATGGTTAAGATGGTTCCAGTTTCCCTATGTCCAAATAAAAAGCGATAATGTTCTCTAAGCTACTCTTACTTTCCCCCTTTTCTCTTAATCTTCTCCAATAAACCTCAAATGAACAGAGCAGCTGCATCTACTCAGATTTAATCACATACGACGGTTTCTATTTTCAAATCAAGCAACTTCTCAAGTCAGAATTATTTAAGGGTGGCAAGAAATCCAACAGTCTCTAATAAAACAACAATTAACGTCTTGATGTTTGTTTTGACAGATGATATAGCAGCAACAACGAGCAAGTGTGTGTGCACCAAAAATTTGGAACAAACTTCCAGAAAACCGTAAAACAGCAGAAACCCTGACTTCCTTTAAATCTCAACAAAAAACACACCTGTTTAGAATTGTACTTGAAATGTAATATCTAACAATGTATTGTTTATTCTATGTTGCATGACTTTGTGTTTTTGTGCTTAGGATGTAAAGCACTTTGAAATGCCTTGCTGCTGAAACGTGCTATACAAATAAAATTTGATTTGATTTGTGTGTGTGTGTGTGTGTTTGGATGACAGCCAAACCTCGGCAGACTTTACTGACTGAACGAGGAAGGACTTTGAGGCAGGGACCCACCTGTCCCTTAAAGGCTTCGATGATGAAGTGCAGCGCGTGAGGCTGGACGCATTCGATGCACTTCTGCACGACGTGGTTCCCGTTCTGGTCCTTCACGCACTTCAGCACGTGGCCGTCCAGCTCGCGCACCATGTCGCTCTGCAGGGGGGCGGAGAGCGAGGAAGAATGTGTGAGGAGGGACGTGTAATTGTTAGTAATCAAATATGTCCTGGAGGCATTTCGCAAACTCTCTCTGTGTGGCTCAGTGCCCAACAAATAACCCTGGACTTTAACACATGCCCTACTGGGAAATCTATTGGGGTCCATTAAGGAAAGATTGATAGTTGCTTTTCCCCTCCTCCTCACACACATTTTTCTAAAAACACAAGATTTGAGCAAATGTACATTCTGCCTGGACTTATTTATCTTCCGACCTGCATTTACATATAAACAGAGCCATTATTTGGCAGCCTGCTGTTCCACCAACAAGAACCCCACACTGAAGATGAAATACGTGTTCAAAGGGAGAGGCGCACCTCTTCATCGTTTTAACAGATCTATGAGGAACCCTCGCAACTTTACGGCCGCGTTGCGAAGCAGCGCAGGGATGATGGGTACTCTGGCGCACCAGGAAATTAATCATTATCCCGGTTTCAGCGGAACACAGTGAGACGTTGTACTTACAATGACCTGCTGCTCCGAGGGGATGAACTCCAGGGCTTTCTGGATGACCCTGCAGCCGTACATCTGCAGGGCCAGAGACAGAACGTGACCCCGGATTCTTTCGGCCAGAGCCAGCTTCTGGTCCAGGCTCCCAAACTGAAACGAAAACGAACCCGTAACTTTTCTTTATCGCAAACACACCACAGCAAACGAAGCGTTTTCAAGGTAAGTTTTCAAATAAGGCTAAAGCGATTAATCGGGTGAATCGATTGTTGAAATAATTGTCAGCCGATGTCGGATTTGATTAATTGTCAGGTCAAAAATGTCAATTTGCAGGAAAAACAACATACTGCGCAAAAGTAGATTGTGTTGTTCAAACATTTGAAGTACCCTTTAAAGCCCAGAGTGAATAAATGAAGGAGTCTGATTTTCACACCAACTCAGACTCTGCATACCTCAAAGAACTTCTGGATGACGTAGTTTCCAAAGACATCCACCATGAGCTGATAGGCCGCCTGCAGGATCTCACTGAAGACGAGCTGGCGCTCGGCGGAACTGGCTCGCTCCAATTTTAACTGGATAAACCTTTAAAAGAAGAAGAAGGAAATGAACACAGATGTACTCGTTGTCTTCCTCAATATTTAATTCTCAATTTGCCTTCGGAAGACGGAAGAAGACAGCTGTCTGAAAATCCACCCGGTGCATCGGGAGGATTTACAAAAGTTTGCTTGGCGGCGAAAACAAATAAAAGCGGCAGAGCAATAAAGTGAGACAGAAACTGCTCCTATATCTTTAACCTGAGGGAGCAGCCAGACAATATGAGATGAATTTCAGAGTGGAAAGAGGGAGATGAAGGAGCTGAGCAGCAGGCTGGGAGGTGAAATGATGGATACCAGGCAAGGATGAAAAACAGGCAGCGATCCAGAGGAGAGGAAAGGTTCTGGAATGAGCCTTTCCAGAACCTTTGGGTTATAAACAGCTCATCTCAGAAAGCTCAGCCTCACTGGTTAAAACTGACCCTAAAACAACCCTCAGATTGAAAAGAGAGGATGCCAGATAATTCAGCTGCTAATTTTATTATGGATTTACGACGACATACACTGACTGCACCTGAAATATGTCCATCAGTGTTACAGTCTTATTCGTTTCTACTAGTTGTAAATGAGTCGTTTAAAAGTACAAAGCGTTTTAGATTAGTTACATCTTCTCGGTTTAACCAGTTGGTCAGGAAAGGAAAGTTTTAGACCAGATTAAAGCTCTCAGAGTTCATTTCTATCTGCAGTCCCTGACATACTAAACTCTCACTGCATTAGGAACAACAGCAGCGTGTTTTTTCAAATAGAAATATAAGAAGGGTACATTCTTAAAACAGACAGCTGATGCTGAAAACATCTATTTATGAACATTTTAAATGTTAAAGTATGCCGTTCAAATGTGTTTGCTGGTTTTGAAACACAAGCAATGTCTCCCAGAATTTGTATTTATTTTAATTCTGTGTCAAAGAATAAACGCTCCAACATTGCACAAGTTACATTGTATATTCAGTCATAATTTTATTGCTTAAAATTGCTTCATTTTCACCGGATTCATTTCAAAATCAACTTTCACTGAAGTTTTGGACGTCAACTTCAGTCTGTAAGACCTGCAATGGCAGCTGCCTTTTCTCCACGGACAGAACAGAGATTTTGTGGCTCATATAAATATTTGCAATCAGAATAAATTCAATGTTTTGGGTTTTTTTTCTTATTGTGACTCACAGGGTCCGGTGCTTTCTTAAGATTAGAACTGAGGCGTTAAAACGGTGAGTACCTGCTGCCGTGCTGGTCCTGGCTGAACTCCATGATGTGCCCGGCGATGTCTCGGAGCTGCAGGTTCGGGTAGCGGTTGTTCCTGAAGTCCTCCAGCAGGCGGCTCCTGCCCGAAGGCATCACGTCCGACATGCCGTAGCGTAAACGTGACGACGGGAACAGCTGGCTGCTGGGCGAGAAGAGGGACGAGCCGGAGCTGGCGGCGCTGCGGTACTTGGCCTCTGCTCCCGGAGCTGCCGAGATGAAGCGGCCGCTGCCGTTAGTCAGGCCTCCTGTGGGTCAGACGCAGTCAAGGTTTCAACGACGGGGCTTCATGCAAGCCGGGAAATTGTCATTAATATCTACAGGAATGTAAAATCCTCCATGAAAGCAAGAAAATGTACACAAAGAAAGGCTCTTTGATAGAATAAACCGTCAACTTCATACAGCAAGATTTGGATCAAATTAATTTCTTTAATCTCATTTTATTGCACTGTTAGACGTTATATCATACAAATCAAACCTGAGCTCTGCAGCACTGAAACAGGGCACTGGATGGCAGCACAACCTTAAACATGCCTTGACTGGGGAAGAAAAATCTTCATAAAAAGAGGATTTCCATAGTTCTTATCCGCTTCAAAACCCAGGCTATCACAACAAAACACACCAAAGGTCTGTTGCAACCCATACAGCCCTGCTGATTAAACCAGTTCATCTGCAGATTAACTGCACTCTCCCTTACTGTACAAACATTTATGCGACTACATTGGACTGTGTACACATGTCTAAATTTACGTGCAAACATTCAGAAACATCTGCGCCACATGTTTAAGGTTTGGTTCAAGCTTGGAAATGAGTCGCACCCAAAACATGGGGCTATTTACTGTCTGCAAAACATGACCTTTAATGCTGCTAATTTGGCTGCTACGCAGCAGCGGCGAACGCTTGAGAAATGATGAAGTTAGGTAATCAATCAGGGTGATAATTGAACCATAATGAAGCTGTCAGTTCGGCTGGCATTTCACCAGAGTGTAGATGACTGAGTTCTGTTTTAATTTTGTCAGACGTCAATCAGACCAAAACATCACAGAAGAAAAGGCGGCCATATTTTTATTAGTTGGTTTGGAGGAGATTGTCAACAAAGCAACAGATCATTTGGAGGCTCGCTTGTAAATGTTTAAGGTAAATAAAATAAAAGGCACTTACCGAGATTGAGATTGGATGAGGAGCTGTGATTGGACAGCGAGGGTGGGGGTGTGAGGGAGTGGGACGGCCCCTGGTTGGGGAGCGGCATGCCCACCGGGCCGGGGGATGGGCTGAAGCCCAGGGTGCCGTTGTAGAAGCCCCCATGACCAATGGGAGTGAGACTGGAGGGGGTGCGCTTGTACAGCTCGCTGTTGCCCGTCAGGGAGTCCCGCCTGGAGCCACTGCCACCACTAGAGTTGGCCACTAGAGGGAGACAATATCTATCGTTACCATCTGAGCGGGGATCATCAATCAGCTGTGGTTTGTTCACAGCTGCAAGGGAAGCAAGTGTGGCAGAGTTAATATAATAACTCATGTAATTACATTTACTGTTACTATTTTGGGGGGAAAAAAAACAACAAAAAAACCTTAAGGAGTATTTTTACCAGGCAGTACTTTTTACTTTTACTTGAGTAATTTTATTGTAAAGTATTGCTCCTCTTGAGTTAAATTTCTGGATTCTCTTCCCACTAAATGAAAAACCATCATGTTTCAACCAAAAGTTAAACATGATGTTAAAGTTGTTTAACTTTTGTTAAAGTTTCACAAGTTTTTTTTTTGTTTTTTTTTAAAGAAACTGATTTTCAAAAATTCTATTTTGCCTAGTTTTGTTACTTACTTAGTTTTGTTAGGTTATTCCTAAAAATAACCACCTCATTTTATATTTTGTTGCATGATTATGTCATTTTTAAATATTAAATGGTTGATAACTTGATCACTTACTCTGTACTTGACTAAACGTTTTACCAAATACTTCTTTACTCTTACTTGAGTAATTTCTTGGCTGGCTGCTTTCACTTGAGTAAAAACATGTTTAAGTAGTGATACTCTAACTTGAGTGAAATTTTTGGGTACCTAAGAATCTTGGACACTCCATTGTGACCTGTGACACTTCTCCTTAAAAACACAATAAAATATGTTCATTAGGAGAATTGGTCAAAAAAAAATTTTGTGTGACTTTTTTAAAACTTTTTCTTCAGTTTTGGTTTTTCCTGCAGGAAAAACCAAAGAAAAGCTGCACCATAAGAAAAGCTTTTCTTCCAGGATTGTGTCCTTATCTAGTAAGAAAAAGCATTCCCACAGCACAGTGCTATCAACGCCATGCTCAGAATCATCTGAAAAGCTAGCTATATTGTGCAGATCAAAGTGCTTTCTAATGTTTGTTTGCTGTGTTTTCTACAGTTTTAAATTTTAAGCTGAATTTCTATTAGCTACTATGCTGAGTTTGAATTAAAAGCAACATAATGTCATTTACTAATTACATGACTTTCAAAAGCAATTGGTAGACAGGATTTTATTTAGGAGCGTAAAGGTCATAAAATAAATGTCTGTCTCACTTTTTCCATTTTGCATGTGGAAAAAAACGTGAAAACCAGGAATGTTTTCCCCTTCAACCTGAATTATTCAGCACTTTGTTGCTTTTGTGAAGAAAAAATTTGGAAAAAAGGTCAAGGTGCAGCAATACACGTGGAAGACTCTGTAAATGTGGACAATTTATCCTCACCTGCGGTGCCAAAACCTCCCAGCGTGGCTCCCAGAGTGGCGCCGAGCGAGGAAGAGCCAGGCTGGCTGAACCCCAGCGAGGCTGACCCGGGTCCCGGCTGGCCTGAGCCTTGTGAGAACAGAGAGGAGCTCTGGGAGGAGGAGCTGAGGGACGACGAGCCGTAGAAGGAGCTTCCTCCCAGCGCACCGCCAGGGCCGCCCTGCTGCTGAGGCTGCTGGGATGTCATGGCACGAAACGGACCGTTCGCTCCGCCGCCCAAACCACCATTGGCACCTCCGGCTGAAGCTGCTGCAGCTGCGACTGGAAGAGAAGCCACACAGGGTAGATAAAGAATGAATTTAATGATAAATTAAAAGCTTATATGTGTACCAGGAGGTTCATTTGTGTGGCTGGTGCATCAAAACACAAACCAAATCACGTTGTGACTGAACAGAACTGACGTATAGGGGAAAAAAAAATCTACTAACCCACCAGAAGAAAAAAGTCTCATAATCCCCTAATTGCAACCTCAGGTTGAGTTTGACGTTCACAACGCGTTTATGATCACAAAGGGCGATCGGTTGTTTTGTGTTTGAGCTGAGCTCGTTTTTATGCGCTTACAGTCAAACTCCACGCTACCTGCTTGTGCTGCAGAGGGGGAGATGATGACGGAGGCAGGGGCCATGAGGCGGACCGGTCCGCTCCTGGCTCCGGTGTTGACCACCAGCGCCCCCGTTTGGTCATAGTAGGCCGCTGGTGCCAGGACCGGGTATCCTGAGAAATGGAGAACAGACCCCAGCATGGCTCCTTTGTTATATGAAGTGAAAAAAACTCCTTGTTTGAATATCCCTAATCACTGCATTTGCATAACAGTACTGTAAGGGTGAATACATTTGCAGAAACTCGCTTCCACCGCAGTAAAAGCCATTTGAGAAATGTTGTACTAACCGGGGACGCCTGCTGCTAACCCCTGCCCGAAGGCAAGCGCTGAATTTACCGCTGCTGCGGCAACCAGCTGATCGTTCTGCTGACCCTGCTGACCCTGGCTGGGGGTCAACGGACGCTGGTTTCCTCCAGCTCGCATCACCTTCACAAAAATCACACACAAAATGTTACCAGAAAAAAAAAAAGCAAGATCTGGACTCAAGAAGTAAGTAAAATACTAAAAGCTCAGAAAAGCTACGTGCGTACACTATAAAGATGCATAAATATAAATGTCTATAAAATGTAAAGATGTTGAAAAGTATGAATCTGTAAGTGAAACAGTTAAGGGAGAATGGAGCTAGAACTGAAAAAAGATATTGAAACATTTATTTTATTCTGTGAAAATTCCAATTTTCCATCTCGTGAAGCATTTTAATCACTACACAGGAGCTTTGGGAGAATCACTTGCAGCGGGGAGCATTTTCTCTGCCAGGTTACAAAACTGACCTGCTGCTGGTTCTGCTGACCCTGTCCTGCCGCCTGTTGATTAGCCGAACTGTTGGCTGCAGCAGCCTGCTGCTGGAAAAGGTTGGCAGGATAGACCCCCCAGGGGGTCACACCGTAGTACTGGGGAGGCATCACTGCAGGACCTGCAGGAAAAGCGAGAGCAGAGAGGTTAGCGGTGGCTCTGCTTATGAAGCTGAACAAACACAAATTTAAACAAGGTGCTTCCTGGTTAAAGATCGGTGCAGCGAGCCGCTTCGTACCGAGAGTAGCCGCTGCTGCCAGTCCCGCTGCGTAGGGGTCCGTCCCTGGAGGAGCGGCGCTGATGATGTAAGGATTGGGCACAAATGCTGGGGCGAGACCTACAACAGAAAAATGAAACGGTGAGTATGAAGCAGCTCGGACTTTAAAGAAATCAGCACCAGCCAGTAAACGTTTTATTGGTAGCGTTTCCCTTTCATCCCTGTTTTGATTTGACTGGTAACGCAAATATATTTATCACAATCCAGGGTTTCCAACTCAAAGTGTTCAGCACAATGTTCAAGCTTCGTGCATACGGAGGTTATCAAGCTAACGCAAAGTAATAAAACACACTTGGAAGCAAAGGCTGAAGAATTAATGAGTTTTACTCAATTTCTTAGGATAAAATAACATTCTCTCAGGAGGTGAAACTGATTGGTCACTTGAACTTTGTATTTATTTTGAAAATGCAAAATGTCTCAGAAAAAAGAAGAAGAAAAGAAAAAAATAGAATATTAGTCAAACACAAAAACTTTCAAATTCAGTTCAAACAGGAGTAGGAAGACGACGTAGTTTATTAAATTAGTCCCCAATTGCAAGGTCTAAATATGTCTCACTTTATAAATATTTACAGATATTAAATTTTAATGTCACAATTTATTCTCTTTCAAAACTATATCCGCACATTTATTATATTAATCTCACCTTTTCTAATTCTCTATGACCTATTTGGAAAAACAGTAGAATATATGAATGATTTTAAGGATAACTGTAAAATAGTCCTTAAACTGTATTGTTTTTCGTTCCTTTTTAAGAAAACTCCCAACCTTTTCACCAAGCATTATGCCACCAACATTTTATAACTGTGCAGACGATGTGGGAACGTCTTCATCAAAGACGAGCTGAACAAAGTGTAACATTGCTGTGTGTCTGCTGCTTGGTGCTCCACATCGTCAAACTGGAAAAGCCAGAATATTTCTTGTCAACCTGAATTTTGTCAGTATCTAGATACTATCTGCATGTGTCTGGAAAAGTAAGAGTAGGTGATTACTAAGAGAAACGGATATGAAACACGGTGAGTCCAGCTGAAACACTATTGAGGCAATATTTTAGTGGCAGAGGACTTCCTATTCCTCAAGCTTTCAGACAACACCAGGTGCTAAAGAGCTCTGGAGGAGCTCCCTCTGCTTTTAAATTGTTCGTGTGGCAGCATTGTGGGAACTTGTTAGAAAAAAAAACAAAAAAAAAAACGACCATCAGTGGAGTGCCAGACAAGACACAAAGCAATGTGGGAACAGCCCAACTAGCTGCTAATGATGAGCAAGTTTGCCGTCTGCTTCTGGGAGTATCGCCGCCGTGTTAAAGGGACAGCTCACAGTTTCATTCAGCTGGGGCCGCCGTTAGACCTGTGTGGATCAAAATCTCAAAGACTTGGAGAGATCAAGCTAAACAGAGATTTCTTTGAAAGATGAACTGAACATTCATCTTTCTTACACACTCGATTGTTTCAGCGCTGGTAGAGTATTTTAAAAGGTAAAGCAGTATTTTATTAAACTGAATCTCCATTGATTTAAGTGTCTTAAAAAAATTGGAGGTGTTGGATGAACTGCATTTATTTCTTTTATCTAATCACCAAAATAAACAGTTAAAAAAGCGGTAAAATCAGTGCGGCTTCAGTGTGAATAGGTAAAATGAGACTTACCGATGTGAGGCTGCTGTGCAGCTGCCAGCGCGTACTGTTGCTGCTGAGCGGCCGTTAACTGCTGCACAGCCAGAGCGTTGTTCCTCTGAAAAAGCTGAGAACAACATCGCAGTTTAACATCAACTGAGGCGCCAGGAGAAGCCGTGGTGCTCTCTCTGCCTGCAGCCATTACCTGCTGCTGGTTAGTGTAGTCAAACAGGCCCACAGTGGGTGCAGAGTCCATGGGCATCTGAGAGTTGTAGTCGAACTGAAGCGGCTCCATCACCGACTCCATGGGGTCCATGGTGACGCCTCCTTGGTCCACCCCGGAGAAGTCGTCGGGGGGCTTGGGGCCTCCACCGCCCCCTAGTGGTGTCAAGCCTTCGGCCCCGACCCCTCCGGGTCCCCCCAGCAGGTCGCCCTCGGGGCCAGGCGGGGGCATGTTGCCAGGCGGACGACTGCGGGGACGAGAGAGCGCCACTGGGTCAGTTTTCCCATCTGACTAGGGAGTGCTGCTCTAAAGAGATCGATCGCCGCCTCTCTCACCCGAACTCCTTCACGTCGACATCCAGGCCGTTCTGTACGGGCAGCCCGTTTGGATTGATGACGTCGTTGATCACGTCGTTCTCACTTTCCGTTAACTCTTTCAGCTTCTCTCCCTCGAACGTCGTCTTCGGCTTCTCCCTCTTCTCTTCCTCCACCTCTCCGTCTCTCTGTCCCTGCGTCGTGGAACGCGAACGAGAAAATAATAAACGCAATATAGAATATCTATGCAAGATTTGTAAGAGTTTTGCGTAATCAAGCTGAAGGGCTCACATATGGTCCTTTCCTGAGGCAGGGGTCCAGCTTATCAGCCGGTGAGGATGACAGGACGTATTCCACCATGCTCACCCCCAGGCCACCGCTTTCAGAGCGCGGAGACATCACCGATCCCACCCCGACTTCACCCCCGCCGTGGAAGCCCTGCCCCGGCCGACGGGACACCATGATGGGCTGAGACACGGCGTGATCTGCCATGAAACGGACAGAGACATAGGACTAAAGCAGGGCTGCCTCGATAACTTCTGCTGGATGATAAATTGTCCCAGAGATTATTGCGGTAAATGATAATGCCAAATTCTAACCATTTTCAACTAATATGACAATAACGATACTGATGGAAGTACACACTCTCAAAGATAAAAAAGAAAAAAAAGACTTTAATTTCTAAAGAACATTTACAGCGGAACTGGAAAACATTTGAAATATCCAACATAAACAAACAACCAAAACAATAATTAAAATGGATTATGAAGGAAAATGTGCTTCCGTAGCGCTCCAAGGGATCCCAAAGATGGACAGCGCAAATCAGAGAAGGACTTTTAATCGTGTGCTTTTAAAAGGACATAGAATCATTTTAAAAGAAATTAATATATGCATTCTTTTTTTTCCCCTTTCTGTTTTCAAAACATGAACACCCTGTAAAATATCTTCAGAAGACTTCCAAAAATCCACCCAGCCTCATGTTAAAACCTGCAGAAACGTCTACAGTGAGGATGTTTTCTGGTGTGGCGCCACAGAGCTTCAAAGAAAGCAGAAAAATCTTTAGTCATGTCTACAGAAATAACTACGCTGAGCTGAAGTGAGGCAGTGGGATTTAGCTTGATTTCACTTTGATATCATCTTTTGATTCAGACAGGGATCTAAAAATAAAACCCTGTCAGCGGTGGTTTCTGGATATTAAAGAACTGTCTTCAAAGACAGTTTCTCTACTTTAATTTCGATGGGTTTGTTCTTCACTGTATCAAAAAAAACAACAACCAACAACCAGACCGCTTAATACCTGAGGCACCCCACGCACTGTCCCTCCATTGGTCCAAGAAGATCCCTTTTGGTCCATCCTTCCCAGAGTCATCCACTTCCCAGAATTTCTTCCCAGTTAGGAGCTGCTGTAGGGACACAGGGAAAAAAGCGTTACGCAGAGTCAAAAATAAAGGAACATTTGAGCAGAAAGGTAAAAGAAAAAGCCCGTGATATTACAATTTTTATTTTAAAAAGAGGGTAAAGTCTGCCTGAAGGGCTGAAGGAGTCAAAGAAATCCAGGTTGATCTTCTTGGATTTTCACTATTATGGGAAAAAAGACTTTAAAAAAAAAAAAAAAACAGTATTTAGGTTTTGGCATCTTACCAGCAGCCTAGATATATTCTATGTTATTAAATCTTTGCTACATTTCAGTTACATGAGAAAAAACTTTTTTTTTTAGAAACTCTGTGACCTGTATATGTGAAACATGTTGTGTTTAGAGGAGAACAAATGTGTTTCTAGAGCAGGGGTCACCAACCTTTTTGAGACTGGGAGCTACTTCATGGGAACAGAGTAACACGAAGGGCTACTTGTTTGATACAGACAGAAATTTTCTTGGCTCAGCCTTTATAACAATAGTATATATACACGTATAAATATGATTACATGCTGCCTGATCATATTAATGTTAAGGACTAGTTACAATAGTTATCATAGATAAGCTCTTTTGTGCCAAAACATCTTGTATGTAGCGCAAATCAGTGCGAGTCTCTGGGGGTCAAAGGGCACGCCAAAGCCTAAATCTCATTGGTCAGTTTGCTTTTTGTGTGAGTTAAAAATGAATGAGTGGAGTTTGAACCTCCCGTTGTTCTAAGGTCCTGCCTGAGCTTTTTACAGTGTGCGTGGCGGTTCTGGCGGGTCACCGGTTTATTAGCATTTTTTGTGGTTTCGCCAACTTAAAATCTGGCGGGTCACCTGCTGACACCAGCAGATGTCGGAAAAAAATGTCAGACCGATCAGAAGGTACGCAGAAAACTATCACTGCAGCGGACCTGCAGGAGCACACCTCTCTAACGCGCATCATCACGCAAAACCAGCACAAGCCTAAACCACTGAAGCAGTGCATTCTTTTTTTTACACAAACAATGTTAAATAATACAGACATGGAAGTGAAGCCTGTCCGTGTGATCCACGGAAAGAGGAGGATGTTGATTCCAATGTTTGCTTAATTTTTACTCTTTTGGGGAACGTTTCGACTAGATTAAATTGTTTAACCCACCGTCTTAACCCGACGCACAGGAAGGGCGGCAGATGTCCGCTAACGGGTGACCCGCCAGCTCTCCGGTTCGGGAAACATCAAAGAAGCTCATAAACCGGCGACCCGCCAGAACTGCACACTGCGAAAAGCTCCGACAGGATCCAAAAGACCGCTCTAAGAACTACGGGAGGTTCAAACTCTGTTCATTCATTTTTTGCTTACAGAAAAAGCGCCAAGCTGCCAAATAAAAAAAAGCAAACTGACCAATAAGATTTAAGCTTTGGCGTGACCTTTGACCCCCACAGAATCAGATGTGTGCTTCGTAAAAAATGTTTTGACACACAAGATCTTTTTTTTCTCCACAATTTTGTTCATTGTGAAGAAGGTTCGATAAGAAAAACTTCAGAAATTCTTTTCTTTTTTTACTGCAGGTAACATTTGACTAGGTGTGTAAATCACGAGCCACAATTCTGCTTCGAGAATCTCTCAGAAATCAAAAGGCGCACAGACAGTTTGGTATTGCCTGAGGACTGGTACAGAAACCTGGACCTAACTTACCTCTCCCATAGCTCGTCCTTCTAAAGCCAGTGCCTGGAAGTCCTGATTCAGCTCGTACATGGACCGCACCTGAACATCAAAACAATAAGTAAATTTAAAAAAAGAAATAGAGTCATAAAAACAACAGAAATGTGTTCTTCCCTCTTAAAAAGCTACTCTCAGCCTAAAGCACGAAATCATATGAAAAGTTCCCGGCTTGCAGCTCTTCTGCCACACTGATCGTTGATTTTGTTTTGTCTGGAGAATCATGAAGTGTTTCTGATAGAAGAGACCTTCTAGGAGTCAAATTGCATTACTAAAAATAACTTTCTTCTGCCTGTTTTTTCTTTTTTTTTTAATAAAATGTTTTTGGCTGGCTATGGTGACCTTTTTCCAGTTTTCTGCCAGTAGGTAGAGAGGAAGGGAGCAGAAAGAAGAGGAGGAAGACAACAATGACTAAGACTAAAGCCTCTACCCACAACGCCATGCTTTGTCCCAAAAAAGCAACTTTCTCCTGATGCAATTATCCAGCCAAGCTACAGATGCCACATAAGCACTTTTAGGTCAGCAAGCTAGCATTTTCTTCATGATGTTCCTCAAGTTGTCTATTTTCCAGCTGTTTGAAGCACACATTCAAACGCTGCTTGCCCCTCCACCGCCTGTTGCTGTACACTGCTGGTTAGCTAGACACAAAAAAATGTTTTTTTCTTTTTTTTTTGTACAAAAGAAACAGACAAATTCAATCAGATATGTTCACACCTGACTGTCATGGATGTTGTCTCCAGTGGGCCAGCGATGTTTGCCGGGCTGCTCGCCATGCTGCCGCTGGAAGAAATAATCAACCATGGCATCGTCCTGGGAACGTCCAGCGCCCGCCACGCCCTTCGGTTAAAACACAGACAGAGGTTATTACCGCCATATTGTGATAAAACTGGTAGAAATCTGAGCTTCTGTGAGCACAAACATGTGCAATATGCCTCCAGAGGAAATAAATTAAGCAAAATTCAAATCCTAAAATGCATTGTAAGATCAAAACCTTATTTATGGGACAAGCGGACAAAAAATATTTAACGGTCAATAACCAGTTCAGGTTTCCGTCAACTACAAAACACACATTTCGTTGTGTAAACTTTGTGCTCATTGAACAATTGATTGCAATAAATGACGACCATAGATGGTTCCTCGATCTAGGCAGAAATTTTGAAAACGACACAAAGGAGGAATTAACGATTTCCACTTATGCATCAAACCATATGACTTTAACCTTCCTCTGATTTACTGAAGTTAAAATAAAGAACAGGAAAGGATTTTATTGTGTTTTACAGGCTTAAAAATTGAGACTTTTTAGTTTTGATGCATTTAATGAACAACCTGTCCCCCAGATTTCTCATTACTTGGCCTGTGATTATCAGTCGGGGGCAAACCGAGGAAAAATTCACCCACAGACTGACATTTTCTGGGCTTGCATCACCGAAGCCGACCAGGGCTGCATGTTGATGCGTCAGAGTTAGATACATTCTAACAGAAAGGAGTACTTTTCCAAATAACAGGAAAGATGACTTGCCTGCTTACTCATTCTGAGTGTAAACACTGAATTCCCCTGAAAAACATGTCTGCCACCACAAGTGGCCAAACAGCTCTGGAAACAGATGGACTTAATCATCTTCTTACACTCAAAGAATATTATCAAAATTTGGCTTACAGTGACAGCTGTTTAATATTATTATTTTTAAAAAAAGAAAGTAGGCTCCTTGTTATGAGATTTTCTAAAATCTCATAACAGATCAAATAAGGCAATAAGAATCAGATCTGGAAATCACTTCTCAGATCATCAACTACAAAAAGTATTAAAATGTTTTTACTACACATTTTTGGCATGTAGACTGTTTTGCCTGAAAATCAGTCACTGTGGTTGTCAGAGCCATTAAACTGTGCTGCTTACACAGCAGCACCTCGAACTAAATGTTTATAATCTATTAATTACTTTCTCCATTCGTGAAGTAATATCACAGGTGAAGTAACAGCACAGCTCATTATATAGACTGTAAAAAATATGAACTACACTTTCAGTACTTTTTTTTTTACAAACTGACTGCAAAAAAAGTCTCCAAAAGATGTTTTTATTTTATTGCTGATTGCACTACAGAAGATGCAAGTGGTTTGTGAAGATAAGACGCATCTTAAAATGACAGACACACAGAACAAATTAGGTTTACATTAAAAAAAAAGAAGAAGTGAAGCACATTTGTTGCAATATAATTTTTCAGTTACATTCGAGAAAACCTTTATGTATTTGTTTTTTCATCAAGTGGCGTAGTGTGGTATAATTCATTATCAGGTTTAGTAATCATAAAAACTTGCGTTTTGTCTCTCAACTGTCATGACTGACATTACAGTCTCAAATGCTTCGAAAAACAGAGCAAGTAGTAAAAAACAAGAAAAAAACCACCTTATCTGGATAATTAGCTTTTTTAAAAACTTGAGTCAAATCGATGTGTACTACGCTGTTACCTAGCAACCCCAGCAGAGCGCCAGCACATTGGGCTGCTGGAAAAGACAAATTGTCTTGATGTTGTCTTAACTAATTCAGCTGGGTCCTTGTTGGTTGTGCAGGACGCTCTACTAATGCTTTTCAAAGATGTACAGTTGTATAATTGTGCATCTGTTTTCAGGCATTTTCACCTGCAAGTGTAAATGTAGAGATGGTGGGTGTGGCCGGCAGCAGATTATTTCATTCTAATAGCTCATTAGTCTCATTTTAGATGATTTTGTGCAAAACATGTAAAGAGCATGTTTTGTTTAGCCCATAGACGTATCCTAACCTGTTCAGGGAAGCATAATAGGTCACCTTTAAGTCCTAAACTGGACTCTGAACAAATATGTAAATGCACAAGGAGGTAAATAAGACCAACTTTCCCGCTTTCTTTTTAATCAGATGCATCCATTGATTTATGAATGAGCCAGAAGCAGACATGAATCAGAGTGGTGGGTATTACCTGCTGACTGGGGGGTGTGGCCTGAGGGGTCTGTCCAGTTGGGGGGGCATGTCCTCCGCTACTCAGCACCACAGGCATGCTGGGAGATGTACTTCTATGGTGGGGGCTGAATGAATCCTGCCAGAGCACTGCTTTCCTCTTCAACACACACACACTGCTCATTCCACCACAGCCTGTTCAGACACAGACACACACACACACACACACACATTAGAAGACGACTTCTGCCGACTGGTTCAATAGGCTGTAAAAACCCACATTTGATCCATCCAGACAAGTTTAAGATGAGTCCTACTGATTTACAGGCTGAAAAAAACATCTGTAGTACTTCAACCCAAAGTGAAACTATTAAAATTTTATTTAGTAATTCTGTATTTTAATCAAGAAACTGAGATTAAAGGCTGTTTATCAACGTAAGTCTATATATTTTCAATTAATGTCACTTTAAAACAGATGTTGTAAAATACAAGTACTGGCAAAGTTCTTTACAATGCAGACTGGCATTTCCAACCTCAGATCAATAATCATAAACAGACTATAAATGGGACTCCAGAGGAGTCGACTAATTTTGTACCTGCATTTGAAAGCTGCATTCATATTTTCAGGGAAAAGCAGTTTTCTGTGCTTTTCTGGCTAAAAAATGACTGCATGGCAGGTTGCATTAAAACAAACAGCACAGAGGAAAGAAGCTCATTATTTCAGTGTTAAAACTGCATTTTTTTCAAATCGTCGATTCGTCAGACTGAAATTGAAAATCACACAGATTTGCAATTTGATGCCGGCAACATTTTTATTTGTCGTCGGTCAATATGAGTCTGCCTCCAGCTCTTAATGAGGCTTGTTCGCTTCTTCAGGGCTGGAGCCAGAGCTGGAACTGCAGCGATGAAAAATAAATAAATAAATAAATAAGCCTAAGCATGGGGTTACTTTCAGCTCCACAAATTTTAGGTTTGGCTTGAAAGCGCTGTTTGAAAGGTACAGCAGTCAGCTGGAAAGACATATCAGCAATATCACAAGTTTAGTTATATAAAAGGGTGTAGAGCAGACCCCCAACTATGAGTAGTTCGGTATTACTTCTGTGGACCGTAACTCCAATTTATGCGTGCATTATTAGTTATTTGCAAAAATTCACAGACTTTTCAGTTACGTGTGCAAAGCAGCCAGTCAAAAACGATATACATCTCAAATAGACACACGATCAAAATCAATAGGCAAAACGACCGACAGAATATTTAATAATTTCACTGAACTCTGATTGAGAATCGCACAGCATTCTGGGGGATGTAGGCAGAGGGAAAGGCTTCAGCTAACTCGCTCACTCTTTGGTTACCTCGCGACAACCTGTTGGGTAACTTGTGGCTACTTAGCAGCTACCTGCTGAGTAAGTTGCACAGCAGCAGCTTAAGGTTTCACCACGGCGCCTCATAACTGCTTGAAAATAAAAACAGCAGCACAAAGAGGAAAATATGATTGAAACATCAAAGATTACGTCACTAGTTTGGAGGTATTGAAGTATCTCAGGGTTTCCCCTGGTGTATTATTAAGCCTGGCGGGCCGCCAGGCTTTACTGGTGCCCCCGCCAGGCTAAGCACTGTTCATTTATTTTACTTATGTTACAGTTTGCACTCATTAAACAATGTGCTAATGGTGGATAACAAAACTATTTCAAATAATTTATCAATAAAATAGGTAAATCTCGGTGGATTGAGAATAAAAGTCTTGTTTATCATTTTCACAAATGAGTGCATCACAAATCTCCAAGTGTTTGTTAAAGACTCTCTCTGTGTTTTATGTAATTTACAGTTCGGATTGGTCAGGTTTGGTCAGGCCGAGTTATTTTGATTAGAGGGTGGAGAGGATTAAATACGGTTGGGGTGACTTAAACAGTCAAATTCTTGTTTGGTTTATTTCAGATTGGAAGCTACAAATCAGATAAGAACTGATGATGTACATCAGGACTGGAACATGAACAACGGAAATAATTGGAAGACTATTACAGCTCGACACCATAAATACAGGATGCCCTGGGGGGTTTAGTTGGAAAGACGTCCACACAGAGAAATAAAGGAATAAATTACCGTTTAAAGAGACCGATGGGTTTTTTAAGCCACTTCATACCATCAAGGAAAAAAAGTAATGTTTTCCATATACGATTAATTCTTTGAAACGTGGCCCAATGATAGCAAATGAAAGAATAATATGATAATGAAAAGGTTAGAGACATAAAACTGACAACTTTACTATTATCATCACTATTTGAACATTTTTCCAGACCAGAGGAAGATTTGGGCAAATGTGAACCAGATTAGCCAAGCCCTATAAAATCCAGAATTTTTATTTTATTTTTTTCAGGTTTCATTTAAGTGTCAAACTTGCTCGTGAATTTATGATTTAGGATTTCTTCCACGTGCGATGAAAAAACATGATACTGAGGGAGAACCAAAATGAGGAAAGAAACTGATTTTATTGGGCTTCAGATACACAGTTGATTTAAAAGGTGTTTGCATAAAAGCATTGCCAAAATAATTTTACTAGTACAGCTGCACAATAATGACAGACAGAGGAGGACCACCCTGGACATTGATTCTACCACTAACACAAACATCGGCTACGGCAGTAACGTAGGGCTTCAGGAACCCAGATGCAACAATAATCATTTAGCATCTGGGTTAGAAAAAGAGCAGATGTAGAATCTAACGTCTCTATATGAAAAGGAAACGGTCCCCCAAAACCAAACTGGCAGTGATCCCACTGGCAGGAACAACTGCCACCAGGCATTTTCTGAAAGAAATGGAAGTGAGAGTCCACAGTCCCACTCTTCTTCACAGAACGGTTTTAATCCATCCACAATGAGGGTTTTAGAGAATGAGCAGTCTCGTTAAATACAAAACAGCAAGTCCAAACTTTGACTAGGCTGCTCCAAAACCCTACCATAACACTGCCACTACCATTTTTCACTGTGAGTACGCTGCTCCTTTTCTAGCATTCTCATTTTATCCCAGAAAAACTAACAATGTTTCATTCTTGTCTCAGCAGCTGGCAGAATATCTTCCCAAAGGTTCTTGGAGGCCTCAAGACGCTTATTAGAAATATGTTTTTCTTTGGCCTTTGCATGTTTTGACATATTTCGTCTACGCTTTGACCAGTAATGCACTTTCAAAATAAATAAATTAGCGGTCAAGTCACAGGGGTCTCGCAGAAGTCCAGTTAATATCAAAGACAACAACGTTAGCGTCACAGGATAATAAAGTCAAATGATTAAAGGGATCGGCCTGCCACTGAAGATTCATTTTAGCCACAAGATGACAAAAAAACTCATTTAAAAAGATCACAGTAGGTACCTAGTGCCTTAACTGCATCTGATCTAAAACTCATGACTTAAGACAACAGACTGAGTCTACAGTTATACAATTATTTACATATTCACAGCGATTATTTGCGTCACGCACGATACGCCCCGATTAGTTTTCTGGTCCTCATCGTGCTATCAGCTGAAAAGCTTTAGTTGTGAAACTAATCCAAAGAACAGTTTGTGGCGAGAAACCGCTGGTGATCAATAGTGCCATCACAAGAGTAATCACGTGTCAGATTGTGACACTTTTGTTTTTTTTTGTCGTCGTTTGTTTAAAAGTAACGTTTGCGTCGTTCGTTTTTCAGTTTATTTCTTTCAGCACGGGCATAGCAGGAAAAGCAAAGGTCAGTGCCTCCAAAGTACAGCGAGCAGCTCTCACAAGCAGATGAACTGTTAAATCTGTTCGCCTTATCTATTTGTACCAAACAAACTCGCCACTCAGCATATTGCGCAAATGAAACTATTTGGAAAAAAAATAACGCTATCTAAGAATGTGTGTGCACACAAGAGAGAGAGAGAGAGAGAGAGAGAGAGAGAGAGACGACTCGCTTTCTTTGGAAGATACGGAGCCAAACTGGTGGCTGTCATTTTGAAAAGGTCAGAGGTGGCCTGGTTACTTAATCAGGGGAAAGAGTGAAGGCCGTGTGGTGATTAAATGCGGTTTTAAACCTGAAGACACACACGCGAGTTATGGTTGCAGATACAGTGACGTGCACTGTTTCTGCACGCCTTGAACCCTTTTCTGATTTTCTTACATCATACCCACAAAATGTAATGGATTTTTGTTGAATTTGTATGTGACTGACTTGAGTTACCTACTACACAAAGTAGTAGGTAACTCAAACTTTGTGTTTGACATCCCTATTATGATTTAGCTGAGGTGTTCTGTGCAGCCTTAGTGGAGATGTAGTTTTTCAGCAAGTACAAGCAAAGTGGCGAGGGCAGATGGGAAGATGGATGTAGCTAAATACAGTATGAACAATAAAACCTGGAAGAGACTTCAAAGACTCGATGTCGGGGGCAAAGGTTCACCAAATCCGAAACATAGAGCCGGAGTTACGACGTAGTGGCTCCGATCGAACCAAGACTCAAATCCAATCCAAAATTTTTGGTAAGATTGGAAAATTCATCTTCACAGATGACTGAGCTGGAGGTATTTTATTTATTTTTTTTGAGTGGAACAGCGGTCAAACGTTTTTAAGCTGGTCAAAACAAACCCCAGAAAACTGCTTCGACACAGTACGGCCACACAACTGTAAATAATACTTTGCTATCCCAAGTGAAGAACTGCCAGAACTGCAGTAAATGTTCGCTTACTGTTTAAGTGCCAAGCTGTGACTGCGATTGCAGTGCATTTGGTGACATTCATTATGTGTTTATTCTAAGTGATGTCATCACTGTACATTGCTTGTTTATCCCCTACTGTACAAGCAAGATACATCATTCACAATTTTTAAGTGCCTGTTCTAAGTCAATTAGCAGTTGTGCACTACTTTGCGTCGGTCTGACATACAAAATCCCGATAAAATTAGATAAAACTGATATTTGAACTATAACAAAATGTGAAAAAGGTGAAGCGGTGTGGCTACTCTTGCAAGGTGCTGTACAGGTCATGACAGCATTAGCCGTGTCCACCAGTAGGAGCAGAATTTGTGTTTTACAGCCTCTCCTTATCCAACAGGCTCTAATCTCACATTAGTGTCCCAACAGGCCAAGAAGAAGTGGCGAGCAGTCCTGTTTAAACTCATCCATATATAGTAATTACCTTTGTGTGAGCCTGTCTGACACTGTGGGTCCTCTAAACAGCTCACACAACCTAAAAATCACCCTCACACATCTAGCCGCAAACCAGCTGAACACCTCCAGCAGCTAAAAACAAAACCAGTCTGCCAACCGGTCATTCACAAACCGAGAGCAGCCTTTGTTTTCCTGTTGCACTCTTCATTCAGCAACAAGGAAATGCTAGCTCTTCAATCCAGTTCTCTAAACACCCGGAAATCCAGCGCACACTGCTCGCTGTGCTCTCGGTTCACCTCGGCGCCCGGAAACGGGCAGTCTCCCCGAGCGCAGCGGGGTCGGTCGCTCAATAACCCGGGGCTCGATCCACCGCATTCCGGGCACAGACAGGGGTGTGACAATCCCGACCTGCGGCTAACAACAGATACCTCCACACACAGGCCATCCCGGCACACACTCCGACCAAACAGAAACCGTGGATGCAGGCTGAAAAAGCTTCACGCTTTCCAGGGTTTCCCTCTTCATGCACTGGCCTTTCGCTCGCGTCGGTTATCCGCGAGGTACGGAGGGTTCGCTGCCCGTGCCTACCAACAATAACACGGCCTCCCGTTGCAAGCTCCGACCGGCTGCAAACACGGGCTTCTACCGATGATTTTAGCAGCCTCGGCAGCCTCACGGCTTCATAATGCTGTTATAGACAAACAGCCGAGGGGCTTTACGTGTCTGGCGACCCAGTTGTCTGGGTAGATAAAGCTGACGCGGATGCTAACAAAGGCCCGAAAACTGACTGTAGCGGAAGACCGACACAAGGGGAGGAAGGAGCCAGGCAGCAGAAAGGTGCACTGCCGCTCCAGCTTCACAAAATCCTCTTATTTCGCCACTTCCTGGCCCTCTAAAGCTGCAATATCGGCATCGGGGCGTCGATAACTAAAGTCTGGAGAAACGCGGGAGCGAGTCAAAGCGATACCTACCGGCGGAGAGGGTGGATGGTCGCGGATTTCGGCCCCAGTTTCTCTCTGACACCCCGGGCTTTCACTCCGACAACATGGCGGCACGACGGAGGAGCAGGCAGCAGCGCCGCATGACGGGAAGGGATGAGAGGGAGCGTACGGCTCATTGCGCCTGTATGGCAAGCCATAGCAGTATCTAATCAAACGTCTGAAATTGTGCTTTAAATATGAATGATGAATTAATAATACTTTTGTGGTTTAAAGTACATGACTAATGGCAAATGGGGGGAAAAAATTTGAGGAAGTTGGAGGAAAACATAATTTAAAAAATAATAATTTAAGGCTTTAAGAAAAGTCGGTGACCTCAATTTGTGCTTCAAAAGAGCTGGCACATAGAAAATTTTGTGAGTTTGATAAAAAATAAAAGATGTATTTATTTTTAAAAAAATTAAATCTATTTACAATCCATAATATCACTTTGTATGTTTTAAAAATAGTTTTTCTTTCTGTTATGGCATCTGATGTGTGACATTTTTATTTAACCTGTTATAAATGTATACCGGATAGTGACAGTCAAATGTTTAGTTATTCAAAGTTGAACTACAGGCATTTCAAACAAAACTACTGTTGAATAATTGTGTTATATTACTAATTTGTTTGGTTTTGTTTTGCTTCATATTAGTGCACACACAGCTTTCAAGCAGGCTGGTAAAGCATAATGTCATTTTTATGCTTGTGATGTGGCTGAAAAAAAAACGTGAGGACAACAGAAAGCTGTTTCTTATGTCACTATTAGTAAGAACGATGAACCTCTGAAAGCCTCACAGTGGCAAACAAATCAGGCTCATTACTGCCCGATGTGGAAATATTCACAGCATCAAATTGCAGCAAAGTGCCTGGAAAAACGATTAGCTTTGGATATGATGGCCGTATTAAATGATCAAGTGTGTCAGTAGTTGTCTTTTTGAATGTTGAAACATCTATTATTGTTAAGTTTTGCTCTTCATTTTTGCATAAAATAAATAAGAATGAAATAAAATAAAATAAAATAAATGAATTTAAAAAATACAGTTTATTCAGTTACCATGGCAGATGTATGACAGATATCTAAAATGTTTCTTCTTATTTCAGTTCTGCTTCATCTATCCATGCTTTCCAGACATACATACCGCTTTTATGTCATGTTTTTATTTTTATTTTTTCACTAACGCGGGAAGTCAAAACTGTCCTCAACAAGAAGAAGGCTGCCTTCAGGAGAGGAGACAGGGAGGCCATGAAGGCAGCACAGCACGAGGTGAAGAAGTGTGTGAGGGAAGCAAAAGACAGCTACAGGAGAAAGGTGGAGCAGAAGCTGAGAGAGAACAACATGAGGGAGGTCTGGGAAGGTGTGAGGACCATCACTGGCCTCAACACAAAGACCAGAGTCGTTGAGGGAACAATGGAGAGGGCAAACGAACTGAACAACTTCTTCAACAGGTTCAACCAGTCCATGCCTCCCCAACCCCCTCTCTCACTGCAGCCACCTTTGCTCCTTACCACACACCTCCCCCCAGGCAACATAACACTGACAACCCCCCGCACACCTCAGCACAATCTCCGCCCCACATCACCACAGACCAGGTCAGAGAATAGCTGAGGAAGCGCAAGCCCAGGAAAGCAGCAGGGCCGGACCAGGTGTGTCCAAGGCTGCTGAAGACCTGCGCTGCTGAACTGGGAGAGCCACTACAGCGGATCTTCAACCTCAGCCTGCAGCTAAGGGAAGTGCCCAAGAAGAACAGGCCCAGCGAGCTGAATGACTTATTCAATTCGCCTGCAATTGAATTCGCCTACCAGGCAGATGTTGGTGTGGAATATTTTTCTGCAAATATTCACACTTATCAGGCCAAACCATACAGTGCAATATCACTGGTCAATCTATCTGCCAAATTCCTATATTTTCTTTTGTGTTGTATTTATATTCTTTGTTTTGAATTTATATTCTCATTACATTTACTGTGTACCTTTGTATTTAATTTGTATTTTTTGTATTCTTTTGTATTTTGCGCACTGTGTGCCACTTTTTTGCCTGTAAGCTGCTGGTAACTTTAATTTCCTGAGGGAGTCTTCCCAAGGGATCAATAAAGTACAAGTCTAAGTCTAAGTAATTGCTATTTGATGAGGGTGAAAAGGTGATTTCTTATACCATAAGTATGATCCCCACTCCGTTTATAGAATACTCACACAAGAAATAAGTTTCTCAAAAGGAAATATCATTTCAGACGGAACTATTTAGTCTATAATCACTATTATTATCTTTTTCCTTATGTGTTTAAAACAAGAATCCACTCAGACTCTGTGGCGGATCTCCCAACATGGCGCATTACCGCCCCCTTTTGGTAGAGTTTATAGCACCACGTCACTGCTTTGCAGTAGTGTAAATTCCTTAGTAAAATCTTTTGCTATGTTATATTCAAAATTAAGTAAACGGAATATTAAATGTGTTTCATTATATGTGTTAAAAAACAATGCGACTGAGTCATGAAGAGGGGTTCATTAATCTCTCCTGATGGTGATTCTGTTTTAGATATCCGAAATAACAATAATGCACTTCAAGGAACGTGTTGGCATTACACAGAATAAAAAAAAAAAAAGTGAAATCAATTTGGTCTGTGACAAACATGTAAATTATCTTCAATGTAAAAAAAAAAAATCCTGCATGCCTGAAATTTTCTTTCATTTGTCCAGGAAAAGATGAATATTGGCAAAAAAAAAAAAAAAAGAAAAAAGAAAAAGAAGAAAAAAAGTCTTCCCATTTATATGATAAATTAGCTTGCCATAGCCTCCCACAGAGTTGAGAGGGAGGGTTCACATCGCTCGGTCCCTTTGTTAAGCCCCACTGTCTTGTCTGCTGCTATTGTTTGCCGTATTTTGTTAAGGTGTTGTTTTTAACCCCATTCACAAAGCTGCTCGTGGTAAAGATTTGCCCCACTTGCTGCTGTTCCGGTAAAAAAAAAATAAATAAATAAATCCCAGAAAATTAATAAACACCAATTCATTCGATAGAAAATACCGTAGCAAATACTGACTTAAGATTTTGCCATTGATATCAGGGAATCACCAATAAGAATTATGGAGAGGATGTTGGTGTCATTCCCGGGTTTGCTGGGCGGAAAAACGTCTCGATGTGGCGGATACACAAAGCAACCGGGTCTCCACGGCAACGGGGTGCGCGCAGCCCATGGCGGCGGCGCGCCGCACCGCGCCGCACCCGCGCCTCACCGCACGGCCGTCCCCGCCACATCCCGGGAATGTGGAGGGACGGCGGGGAAAAGAGAGCGGGAGTGACTCGGAGAATAAATAAATAATGAAACAAAGAGACCCCCGGCGGGGCATTTGGGAATGTGCCAACGTCCACCCAGACACACACACACACACACACACACACACACATACGCATGCAGAGAGTGACAGAGTGCTGACAGTGTGTGGATGATGTAATGCGGATGCAAAACATTCCCCGTTAATTGGGTTACCTTTTAGAGGAACATGGGCACTTTTGGGTCAGCTTGTTTGCTCTACGCCATGGATAGACATAGTCAAAACGAGAGTAATGAGTCATATAAATAGCGTGGAAACAGAAGATTACACATCATTTACTACACTCTGGTGGGCGATAAATAAGTAAACAGTTCAGGCTTAACTCGTGGTGGAAAGAACTGCACACCAGATTACATTTATGTAATTACAGGGTAAAACGTAAGGCCAGATTTATTATCTATGAGCTTTATGTTTATGGAGGACATAAACATAAAAAAAGGAGGAATGGGCAAGAGGGGCAGGCAGAGACCACCTTCTATAATTTATGGAGATAATAAGATTAGAGATTTTTTTTTTTTAATTATGATTATTTTTCCTTTGTTTCTCTTTGCAATGCATACATTTATAGTGTCATAACCTCCCAGAAACATCCACCCACCTAGCTGTTTCATTTTTCTTTTTTAATATGTTAAGTTACTTTTTGTATTTCATCAGAAAAAAACAACAAACTCAAACAGATTAACATTTTTTGTGGAGGGAGGTCTGGTGGAGAGCCATGTCGAGACAGACATAAAACAAAGTCGTTAAGACAGGAGGTGGTTGACTCTGAGGCACAATAATCACAGGAAGGGTTTGAGAAGAGGCCATGTAGAGGCTTCAGTTAGAAAACTGAATAAACTGGATATAAAGAGATTTAATCCGTCAACATCCCATCATAATTGGAGGAAAATTGAAGTTGTGCATTGGTCTGATCAGAGTTCAGAACTGAAATCAGGATCAAATGTGTAGATTCATCTGAAAAGACATTTACAGCTTTTGCAAGACCGTGCACATTTTGTTATTTTATTACAGTTATGTGCCACTGGAGTAATCCATCAGACAAGATATTTTAGGATTTTTTCTTTTTTTTTATGTTTGCATAGTCTTTCTGTGAGAGCAGTGAAACAGGAACACAACTGCTGTGCAGCAGGATGATTTAGAGCTTTGATGCCTCCTTCATGCTGTTTGCATGTTTGCATGTGTCGGTACACATCCAAACCAAGTCCAAAAACATGCATGTGGAACCACAATTCAATAAAATCCACCTTTTTATGGTTATAAAATTGCAAAAAAGAAACAAAAAATTCTCCTGCTCCCATTTCTTATACTTATTTTTGGGGGGTTTTATGCTGATATTTATGAAACTACATTAAACAATAGTGTCTGTGAGGGTGAAAAAAAATTATGCTATGAAAACAGTATTTTCTAATTTGTGGTGCTTAATAATATTAAAGTAATCCCAATTTTAAGAGACTGGGACACGAGAAAGGACTGAGCCGTTGATGTTGTTAAGTGAAAAAAAATCTTTAAATTCTTGAGTGTATTTGCAGGAACGGCTCCCACATTTCCCGGTGCGCCGTCTCTTTAAGAGCCATTCCCCTGAACGCTGGAGATTTTCAAGGCCGACAGGAACAAACAACTGAAGTGAAACGGGATGCAGAGAAACAAAGCCAGTCGTGACAGCGCTCGGTTTATTCAAAATTTAGACACTCTCAGTGAGACAAACGTGTCTGCAGATGACGACAGAAGTCACATTTGAAATAGAAAGTGTACTTTTATTATTTCAAACTTTACTTTACACCCGTTGAGATCTGCACCTCATACCCGTCTCCTTTATTCTCACTTTCTGTCACATTTATTATCGAAAAGAAAAAAAAAAAAGACTCTAAAGTCTCCTTCGCCCTCACGTTCGGATGAGAGTCGATGAGCGAGCTGCTCGGACTCGATGTCTTCCTGATGCAACAAGGAGGAATACTGCAAACTGGCTAAAACAAGGCAACATGATATATACAAAAAGAGAGAAGAAGAGAAACAGGTACAAAGCAAAACAAATTTGCTGTCATCCCTCCCACACCCTCCATAATGTGACCCTCTTTTTTTCTTCTTCTTCTTCTGCAAATAGAACCAACAAAACAATCATCGGCTGGTTATTTACATGCACAGTACTACTTCCCACCCCAACAAATAAAAATAAAAATACACACTAATGCCTCATCCCAAAGCCATCTGATCTGAACACATGCCCCACAGATATTCCTGGAAACAAAACAGAAATTGGCACCTTTTTATTATCAGGACATCGCATGGAGGGATTACTGTCCAACAGCTGCATTACGGTCCAAAATGTGTGAGATTATTGCACGACAGACTTAACACTCTAATTGCTTGTTTGTTTAGTTCTTCTGCACCAGAACAAACACTGATTAATGCGAGCTTGATCCTTTAAGGAGTCGTGGTTTCGATGGCCTCTCCTACGGGCCTGAGGTGTGCAGCTGGAGCGGCATGGGAGGAAAGAGAGACGGCTTTGGGAGGAGGAAACTGCAGGACTGCTCTAGCTTTAACGTCACACTCTAAAACGACAACAGATACGAGCTGTGCCTCGGTCTATCGCGTGGCTCCGCCCCTCCAAAAACATCCACACACACAGAGGAGCATTCACCCCAACAAAGAAGTCAAACAAACGCAGAAGGGCGCAGCGTGGTTGCAGAGTCCAGAGTACAACCACGAAGCACCAGCTCGGAGCTGCGCAATCGTATCACACACGCACGCACACGCGCACACGTCGACTCGAGAGGAAGCGCTCAGAGCTGGCAGTTTTGAGTGAATCTTCTCCGAATTCCCTCCCGCTCCACTCCCACCGGGAACCGCTGGTTCGTCCCTGAGCTCTGCAACGTTCGTTTCAGGGCTGACTTCAGTTTTCCTTCCTCGGACACAAAACACACACGCAAACATGCTCACACTGTCTCTCCTCTCTGGGGTCAAAGGTCCGCTCCTTGGGTAAACTGCGACACAAACGAGTGAGTGTAATCAGGGGTGGGGTGGTGGGCAACCTGCCGCTTCTTTCTTTCCATCCACAGTGACAACTTCAGGCTCGGGCCTCAAGGGGGCGCTACTGACACTTAACCAGCCCTGGGAGGAGGAGAGGATAAGATCATAGTCAGAATTAGAAATAATTCCCTTTGACATAAGAAATACAACTTTTTCTATTTATATGTTCATAACTTATTTCTGGAGGAAAAATATTACATTGTTTTTTAATTTATTTGATAGAATCCATTAAACTCTAATCTTCATTTGCATTTTTCCTTTTTATGTCAATAGGTTGGAGAGCAACCTTTTGCTGCAGTGATGGCTGGACTTTGACTAGACCACTCTAATAAATGAATATGCTAAAATGGTTCTGAAACTTCTCCACATCTTTATTCCCATGACGTTGTCCAATGTTCGCTATTACATCACTGATGCCTTCGCAGTACAACTGGATTTATACTGAGATTGCACATCTCTGTTAATGAATTCAGAAAGAGATTGATTGAACTGAGCTCTTATTCAGGCAGAACAGAACAAAAGAGGCGTAATAATACCAATACATTCTTATCTTTCCCTCTGTTTCACAATTATGGACTCCATTGTGATAGTTAGTTATTCATTAATGCCAATAAAATTCATTGCTGTTTTTGGTTGTACTGTGACAAAACATGAGTGAACTTCAACGTGTGTGAATACTTTGTGACTCACGTGTAAAGAGGCTGTAGCTGCAGATGAGAGGACTTCTGGGGCGGCTGATAGCCGTACGAGTCAAATCCACCAATAAAATCAACTTGAAAAGGCAAGAAAAGATAAATAATGAAAAGAAGAGAACTATAACATCAATATCATCAAGTGTTCTAGTTTAATCTGAATCGAATCTATAAAAATAAGAGTTTATGAATTCATCTGACTGTGTCTTGGATTTACAACAACATCTGCTGTTGTTGCACAGAGGCCTTTAAATGGATGGTTGTTGATTTTGTGACCAGAAAATGCTTTTTTTGTTTGTTTGTTTTTCTACAGCTGAGGAGTTTTTCACCTCTTTTACCACCCTGCTTCGGGACCCTGATGACAGGAAGACGTTTGGTCTACCGCCAGCCTGGCTTGCCAAAGATCCAGAGATTTTGAAACATGCTGATTGACCCTCTAACTATCGGTACCTGCCTCACAACATTACCGGAATGTTCTATAGCCTTTTCCATTTTTAAGAGTGTCTCAGACAAATGGACCTCTATGTCCCCGGAGAAACTGTAACTTATCAAAATGGGAAAGATGAGAGAGCATTCCACTCAAACAAGGCGATTAGATTAGCAGGTCGTCGCACATTTGCTTTCCTCGAGAGGTGTTTTCTTCATTCTCTCCTTTATTCAAGAGTAGCTAATAGAGTTAGGTCTGTTCCCCTTTGAAGTGATTTACCAGAGGAACCATTAAACCTGACCAAACAGACTATATAATGTTTTTCATTGCACTGCAACTCATAAATGAGTCATAATTGCTCATGAGGATAATGCGGTCATTTACCAACAGCCATATAAAATGCAATATCGAGGACGAGCGAGAATTAAACTCTGATGAGAAAGGCCCGCCAGAACCACAGATGGGCGGCCCGACAGACAGCCGCTGTGGCGGTGGGAGTACTCCAGCCCACACAATGCTGCCCACAGACGGGGAGCTCAGCTCACCCGGAGGGAATCCTGAACACTGAGATCTCTAAGCATGACTCACGCAAGAGAAGACAACTAGACGGCATCTCTCACACCCAAAACCGACACTGGCAGACCCTCGGAGAGCACTCACAGCTGTCCTCGTCATCCTGGAAGACTTTGCTCACGTAGCAGGCGTACACGAAGCCGAAGAGCTGTTGAGAAGTCGAAAACGTTCCGGTCAGATTGCACGTTTTGGTGCGGTGTTCTTCGAAAAATAACAATAACGGGTTCTGAGGCAAACTTTATTAGAAACTCTTCGTTTCGAGGCACTTACAGCCAAAAGGATCTGGATGGCCGAGCTCAACACCTCGATGTACTGGTAGTCGAGGAGACATCCGGACACCGTGATGACGTGGTGGTCGTCGGGGGCCATCCGAGAGTCCAGCACTGGCGTCACGAGGCAGCCGGGGCCGTGCTCCATCCACCACGAACGATGGAGGGACGTGTTGAAAGTCATGAGAAAGTCCCTGTCCTGGAAAGCATCTGATTGGTCAGCGATGTTTCGCCACACAACATAAAGCGCATCAATCAGTCTTCAGATGTAACAGACTTTTAAACACCGGGAGAAGAGGTCTGACACCTTTGAACATGCTCTAAGTCGTATTTACTTAGGCGCAATTTCTATGCGAGAAAGAAATCTTAAAGCTACACAGCAAACCATCGTTTACAAAAGACAGACTACGTTCTTTATTAAATTAGAAAGTGTAAAAGTGGAGCGACTCTGAAATTTTAAGTTAAACTGTGCCCATTCAAAACCTGAAATTGCCAAATTTCAAAAGTGGATATAGAGCATCACCAGTAGGATCGTTTGACCTGAATGAAATAAATGCAATTATCAAATTTATACTGTCTAGGCAAGTATCATGTTGCTGCTAAAGACATATGGGTATCACATAATTCACCATCTACTGCCCAAGATTAAATCTTGTTGGCTATTTTTTCCAACTCGTTCAGATTTTCAAAACAACTAAAATTATTTTCGACTACATTTTTGTCTCGTGTCATTAGTTGACAGAAATTTCTATCCTGGTTTTAGTCATTCAGGATGAGTTCTCATCGAGTTTTATGTTCATAGCAGACTGATTAAATTTATCCTGGTAGAATTGCAACTATTTCTAGAGGAGATAAAAAATTTAAAAAAATATATTGAATTTTGAGATGAACGATTATTTATGGAAATCACAACAGCGATGCTGGAGGCTGGCCCAACTCATCCATTATGGACCGAAGCATTACTGATACTGATTATTTTCTGGTGTCATGACAGTGATGCTGAATGGTGAAACAGTTGTAACACAAGCTCTGCTCATTTTTTTCTATCCTAATTATCTCGCTTTTTCAAAGGACTTTCGGTTTCTTGACATAGCACATAATCTGAACTCTATAGGATTTTTTTTCACCTGAAAAACTGATTTAAAACAAGTGATGTAAATCTCAATTTTTTTAATATAAAAAGTAATAAAATAGGTTTTTATTAGAGTAACACATGGAACCAAATATGTTTACCTGTGACAGGTTTCCTACTTCCAGGTAGAAACAAATAATGAAGGAGTTCCATCCAACCCACAGGACCAGCCATACTGCATACTGCCAGAAAGATCCAATCAAAAGTGCTTTTATGAAATTAAATCAGTTCAGTGACAGGAATGTGGAATGCTGGCAGGGTCGGGGGTACGTGGCACTCACAAAAATGAGGTATCTGAAGCGAAACTGCACAGTGCCAAACATGCCCAGGATGACGGCCATAATGTGCAGGAAGTTGGCCAGGATGGGAGCCCACTGGTAGCCCAGAAAGTCAAACACCTGCCTCTGGAGGGCCGCCACCTACGGAGGTTTCAGATGCACACACACAAAGGCCTGTCAGAGGAGGCATGATCAAAAGCACGCAGGGACATAAAGCGTCCTCACTTAATCAAGGTATCACACACGCACTGAGTGACAGGGACACACATACTCGAGGCTGCCGCAGCTGTTACCATGGAAACTGCCTGGAGCACCAGCCAGTCCAGTGACTGTAAAAAGGACCACCCCTTACAAAAAAAAAAAAAAGAAATAGCTGGGCCAAACTAATGAGAATCTATGGGCCAAATCCCTCTGCTGCACAAAAACTCATCGGCACAGCAAACAATGGCCACAATGAGCAGCTCTAACGAGGCTGCTAGGCGCACTCACACCATGTCGTACTTATTAAACATTATAAAAGGGATGTCTTAACTTTTTACTACCTGAATTGCATAAAAACTAAAAAACGCTTTTGCTGTCACACAGATTCTAAATTCATCAAAAAGTTTATGCAGTGTGTAAATTAGTTAAATTAGGCAGAATTTATCACAACTTCAACCACTAGATGGCATCAAAGTGCTTCTAAAGTGATGCAGGGTATGTGTTGATTATGCATCAACAGGCGCTGGAGTGTATATATGTCACTGTGACTATAAGCCAGTTTAATTTGCCCATTGTTCATGTAGACGAGCTACACTGCTGCCCCAGGCCAGTAGGAGGCGCTGAAGATATCTGAGCTCTGAAGACCTGAAATGTGTAGAATGTTTATCAAGAATGAGGCTGATTTCTAAACAAGCTTTAAATATTAATGATATTTCAAGTAATTTCGTTTTTCATTTATACATGCATTTGTTTCCATGAATGACAGTTTTCTATTACGACCAATTAAAATGGCAACGTCTTGCCAAATTGAATATTTACTTGCCAAACAAGTAGGCCTGTCACAACAACAAATTTTGCCAAACAATACGTTTTCCCACAACAATAAAAGATAATACTGTTGTTTTGAGGCAATTTCCAACTAATACGATAGTAACAATGGAAGAATAATACAACACTTTCTCAAACATCAATAAATCTTAAATTTCAATGAACATTTAAATACTGGAACTAGAAAACATTCTAAATATCCAAAATAAAGCAACAAAACAACAGGAACAATAAATCGAATGAATTCTGAAGTCAACGCCACCAGTTTTGTTATTGGTCTACTAAGGAAATGTGAAACTAGTGTTAAGATGGACAACACAGACAAAAATGAGATCTTGGACACTTTTTATGGTATGGAGTGACCTTAACAGGAAGTCGGGCCCCTAATTATATTCCGTTCAGGGTCCCGTACATTCATGTGCGAGTCCTTCTAAAGATTCACATGATTTTGCTGACACCAGCATGCACAGGTTACCCTGTTCCCTCTCCTTCAGGGAACCACAGCCTCGCCTGTAATGTGGGATGGCGCCCCAGCAGCTGCAGCTCAAAGCCGTGTGTGTGTGTGTGTGTGTGTGTGTGTGTGTGTGTGTGTGTGTGTGTGTGTGTGTGTGTGTGTGTGTGTGTGTGTGTGTGTGTGTGTGTGTGTGTGTGTGTGTGTGTGACTGTACAGGGAGGCTAGACAAAAATGTCTGATTACAATGTGTGTGTCTGTAGCACGCCGCTCTAATTATATCTTGGTGGTTAGAGAGGCAGTCTCAGCTGTGGACACACAAACACACGCATGTATTAAAACAGAGCCGACCCAAGGCAAAAAGTGAACTGAGCAGCTGCTTAGGGCTCCCAAATGAGGGGGATATATCAGTGCTAATTATGCAAAACAAAACTTCTGGTCCTTAATGTAAAATATTACATGTAAATCAGTGTAGTTACATCGTGACAAGTTTTAAAATGCACATGGAACCTATTAATGTAGCAGAAGTAAACCAGCTGGTTTCACTCTATATGTTTTCTGCCTTGAAAACAGAAAACCTAATTAAACTATGACTAATTAAACTAAGACAACAGTAAAGAATATTAATACAAAAATATATCCATTTTGATGGATGAATTTGAGACCTCTGTTTCTTTTTTCTTTTTCTTTTTAAGTAATTTTCCTCAAAAAGCTTCTGCATCAAATGATGCACTTGTTTTATGCCCTCTAGTGGAGGATTTAAGTACAACTGTTACCCAAAATTCAAAGACGTCTGCGTGAACTTTCAAGAAAGAGTTTCCTCGTGAAATGCAAACTCTTAATGTTAGGATGATTTTGGAACATGAAACGTTTTTAAAATTTCATGTCCTTGAAAAAAAAAACAGCCTAACAGAGTTATACAGTAAATAATGTAAATATGAAATGATAATATGGGTCAGTATGTGTTTTATACCTGATTTAACATCAAATTAAATAGTAAAAGCAAAAATTTAAACTCTATATTGTTGAACAGTTTCTGTAAAAATATCAAATTTTACAAATTACAGTAACAATATCAATATTTAGCTATTTTTGTCAAAGCATCGAACAAACTGTTTTTAAAGTATGAGATTTTCCTACTATTGTTTATTTTTTGTGAGAGTTTAAAGAGTCAATACATCTGGTGTAAATTAAATGTAATTTGGAGAACTGCAGGGATTTAAACTCGAGTGCAAGTAAAGGAACATTAGTCGAGATTAGAGTTGGCAATAACATGTGCCCAGGGCCCCATTCAGCCTTGGACCGGCTCTGTATCAAAGCACGCTCACTTACCAGCTGCAGTGAACAGATCACCAACAGCGTGCATCTGCCGTCACACTTCCCCATTTTGGAGGGCTCGGGCCGCGGCTTGGAGCCGCGGAGGCTCCGGGGAAACGACGAGTCCCCGGTCAGATCCAGACTGCCTTCCCGTCTCAGTTCACACCATTCCCGGGATGAATAGACCCGCACAAGGCCGCCGCCGCCGCTTCCTCCGGCGCTTCCACTCACAGCGGCTGATCCATCTCCGGTCTCCGCTTTTGTCTACACGATTCCGGTCACGGGAGTGTTTTCACGGGGAGGAAAAGGTGGCGGTGATGAGAAGTGAAGGAGGTGCTGGGGTAGTCCGCTCCACACCGGCCTGCTGCTGCTGCTGCTGCCGCCGCCGCTGCTGCTGCTGCTGCGAGGTCCGACCGACTCCGAATCACCTCGGCCACACCTTCCGGAGAGGGGGGGACACACACAAAGGCACAAAGAGAGACGGAAAGCTGTCACAATCTGCCCCAGGCTGCAGACTGAAATGAACATCATATGATACCGGATCACACGGAGGGGAGGGGGGGCGGTAAGCGGCGGGGAGGAGGGGACCGACCCCGCATTAACACTCCGGCTAACGGTCGGCTCCTCCGCCGTGGACACAAAGCAGCCCGCCCGGACTCCTCCTTCCACGGCGGGTTTGCATCGCGCAGGGATCCCACTCTGCTCGGAGGGAGCTCAAAAAAAAAACAACAAAAAAAAAAAAACATCAGAGAATCGAGTTAACGGGGAGACCGACTCACCAGCACCGGCTCCGGCCTTCCACGGCTCCGTCTCGCAGCGTCTTTTGTCAACAATTGGTGCCGGGGCGAGCGCAGGAGGAGCCGGGGGGAGAGAGGGATGAGGGGGTGGGGGCCCACAGTCACCGCGAGGCCCCCCGCCCCCGACGAGGAGCTGTGAGGTTTCAGCAGGGCCGTTTAAAAAGAACTACAGACACCAGGGACGGTGGGGGGCACGGGGCACCCCTTTCACCTGTCACTCTCCTAGAAAGTTTCTTATGTATATTTGGTTATTATTATGAATTTAAGAGCGGAAAGGCTGATCTTCAGTTTGTAACAGTAAACTTTTTCACATATATTTCTATTTATCCTATTGCGATATGACTGACCGAAACGGCAAAACAATTTAAGAAATATAAGGATTTCATATAATAAATCCACACAATCTAGTCCAGAAATTAATGTGTAATACATGACAATCCTAAGTAGCATCAGTTATTAAACATTCTGACTAGTGGATAACAACTTCAAGATTTTAGAGAAGCTGATCTGGTCGGGTGTGATTTTGACCTTTTCGTCCACATAATCTCTTCTCAAGTTCTGAAGGTTCTGTTGCCTCTTCCATGCTCTTTAGTCAGTTCTTTACATAGATTTGCATTTGGGTTCCAGTCCGTTGACTGACCGGGTCAGCCTAATGGGTTTCTTTTTGCTCTCTGAAACCAGATCGGAGTTTCCACTTCTGTGTGTTAGGCACCAATCTTTTGCTGGAAAATCCAATTCGGTTCCGTCTTCAGATTACTGTGAAGAATGTCGCTGTACTTTAATCCATTAGTCCTTCCTTTAGTTACCTGACTGTAGACTGCCATAATTAGGACTGAATTTGTGTGTATGTCACTAATTTTGAATCTGGACTTATGTCTGGACATAATCCGGACCTGTTTGCTTTGTGCTGCTCCTTGAGTCCTTGTTGCTAGCTATAAACTGATTTGAATAGAAATATCAACACTTCCGTTGTTGGAAAAGTCACCAAGCATTTTTAGGATGATGCGCAATACCTTTCCACCTCAAAACATTGACTGTAAAGTCCGCCCATCTGTCCGTCGTCTATATCCGCTTATCCTTGCAGGATCGTATGGTGGCTGGTGGCTATGTCAAAAAATCATCTCCATTTCCGACATTCCCCCTTCATTGCTTCATCCCAACGATGCTTCTCTAAGATGTCCATTGATGCTGTTTCCAACCACATTTAGGGACGTTGTAGTTTTGTATGGTAAGCTGAGAAGATGCACAGCTCCACCAGGTGTTTGCTAATTGCTGCTGCCGCTAGTCTGGGGGAGCTCGGCTGGAGACGGAAGCTCAAAGGCGGAGCTTTGCGGGAATAAGTGGTGCATCGTATGACCAGCCGCGAAGGTGACAAATTCAAGGATTTCTCAATCATGCATGAATGAGTCAAAGCAACACTCCAGGCATGTTTAATGAGGTAGTGACATTATAACATGATGTAGAGCTCAGAAATGTAACATTTATATCACGCTCCCCAATTTAAGAGATCACAAGATGGTTAAAGAGGTTCAGCCAAATGCGGAGAGTGAATCAGTGTGTTGTCATCAACACCAGCGTGGACTCCGGCCGAGGAGAGTCCAGTTTGTGATTATTGTTCAGCAGGGAAATAAAAGGCGCACTTTTAACAGCCGTGGTTCATTCCTGCCAGACCTTAAGCCGTGCCTCCTTCCAATAAAGTGGGCTAAGTCAGCAAACACTGGCGGTAGATAATGACCGCTTTATGAGCATGGAAAACAGCAGCCACCATGTAATAGAGTTATTAAATTCAGTTTGTACATGTTAGTTCATAAAGTGAACAAACAGCGGACATAATCATTAAGAAAACTGGGCTCTGGTTTTATAATGCACGCTGAGCCTCAGGCACATTAAATAGGTTGTTTTTTCTGTTTCAGGTTTTTTTATTTAAATTGTTTGTGGAAGAAATTATTAAACGATAAATGGCGGTTTATGTCTTGAGAACTTAACCTGACATGTAAAAAGCTTGCTCTAAGTCATACGCTCCTACCTTTTGTGCGGTTTTGACCAAAAGTTCTCAAATCTCTTTGAATTAGGGCCAGAGTTGGGGTTTCACTAAAACTTTTAACGTTTTGAATCTGACCAACCAACTCAATTTGGCTGGTGCCAAGTCGTGTGAATTTTCTATACACTGCATGAGCAATTGGACTAGGCCGCAGCATGTTCCCTTTATTCTACTTCGTTACGATTAAATGCTTAACCACCAATATTGGAAAAGCAATTAAGCAGTTAAGTCTTAAATAGCTACTCACAACATAAACTCAAACATTTCTAAAGATATTGGTCTAAGATACCCGTTAAAGCCATCACACATTAAACCTACATAGCTGCCATAGGGCCATGTAGCCCATATGGCAGCTATGTAGCCCATTTTTTTCCTAGCCCATTATTCGGGCTAGGAAAAAAGGTGTGCAAGCAACTTACACACTAGTCATTCAACCCGACACTTATGTGTCTCAACAGGGTTTGTACACAGCAAATTTCTGTCGCTTCAGCATAAGAGCTGCAGATTTTCAGTCTGTCCTGTTGAAACGTCCAACTGTGTCCCAGTTTCCTTCTAGCTCTTGATTTGAGGTTAAGTCCCTCTTTGTGTACTGCACCAGTAACCATGGTAGCAAGCCATCAGACCAACATGGTCAACAGCTGGTTTAGATTTCTATCCTTGAGGAGCTGATTTTGGAGCAGAGGCTCGTTTCTTGGTCAGCACATTCAGTTCTTTGTGACACGAAACTGGATTTTTGGGTCACATTACACTGATGATCACAGTGAGAGATTCCCAGAGGCCAAAAGTTCACAGGGAATCTCTGGTGTTAGAACATTTCGGATTGAGCTCCAAACCGATCCAATGTAAACTGAATGTCATGATAGGAATACGGCAACAGAGTGACATCATCATCTACAAGGAGACCCTGGGTTTCTTTAACCCAACACTTTTCTTTATGCCTTTAAAAGCTGTCCATGCTCACCACAAACAGGACTGGAGACAAAGAGCGGTTCTGGCAGAGCCCAACCCACACTAGCAACAAGACCAACTTTGTGTTGAGAATATTGTTTTGGTGATGTATGGACTGGAAATCCCTTAAAAGTGTCCAAACACTCCAACAGAAACCCAAACAAAATCCCTAGAGAAACCTAGTAGGAAGCCCTCTTCAGATATATTTCAAAGTTTTTCTTCCAAACTATGAACAAAAATGTTCTCTAAAACAAAACGCGCTCCAAACAACGGCGCATTGTGAGAACTGGTAATCACATAATCACTGAAGGATTATAAAATATTTATAGGAAAGCTGTAACTATTGGGAAAAGCTGCAGGATCATTCTAGGGCCAAAATATGTGAACCAGAAAACAGTTTACTGTGTGCATAAAAACAGACTCCAAAAACTCCCAAGCCTCAAAATGTTTAAAACAACATGCTGTAATTACTTCTACTTTTTGCGTTTGAAAATTATTTCAATGTTCAAGAAGTAAAGGAAAAATGTAGCGAAACCTTTTTTATCCCTTCATAAAAAAACAAAATAAAAACAGCTGGGTCTGTTTTAGATGCTAACAAGAATAAATGTGAATCTCCACAACAGCATAATAGTTAAACACCAGTGACAAAATGATATGACAGGAGTTGTTTTTACTGAATACCAAAAGTTTATTTAAAAAAAAAAAGAAATAAATCAAAGTTTAAAAAAAAAAAGGGGGGGGGAGGAGAAAAAATGGCCATTTCTGAGGCTGACTGATGGTCATAAAGTTCATCCTGAGGTTGTTCTGAGGCGAGACGAAGCATGTAAAATAAACTCCATCAGTGCCCATAAAACTCTTCCGAGGCAGGCCGCTCGCAAACACACACACAATCAAACATCCACACACACACACACACAGACTACTGAATTTCTCCCATGTACAGACGTTTATCACTGGACCCAGACAGCACTGCAGAGAGAAAGCAGATGAACAGCCAAATAAAATTATCAGATTTTATCCATTTAGAAACTATATCAAGACAGCATTTGAGGTTAGTTTGTGATCGAAAGAGGAAGATAAACACTTCTTTGATGCTTCAAAGGTTTCTGCTCTGAGCTACAGCAGCTGAGTGACTGACTCACCGACTGGCTCCTCTGGGTGGAAGACCACCTCATTGACAGAGCCGGCGTGACCCGGCAGCTTGTACAGGATCCTTCTGGACGTGGTGTCCCAGATGTACACAAATCTGGAAGAGGAGACAGAGCAGCAGAAAGAATCACTTTACAGAATTATTGAAAGGCACCTTTACAAAGGCACAGAAAAAAAACATTCGGAGCGGTCTGTCATCTAACTCGTTTTTTTATGATTCAGTAACTTTTTCATAATGTCTCTGTACAGACATATCAAACTGGAAAAAAATAGTCAGAATATTTACAATCACATTTTTTTGATTGTTATGATAGAAGAAAATCTTTTTTGAATTTGAAAGAAAATTAAATAGTTGTCAGAATTTTTTTAATACATGAAAATCTGAAAGGTGTGGCATGCTTCTAAGTGGTGGCAACATCCCGTGACACCTCTACTCAGTATGAGTTAAAACAGAAAACTTTTGTTAGATTTGAATATTAATATCTAACCTTAAATAAAAGGTGTAGTAGGGTTGATGTCACTAAATGGTAATTTTGTGATTTGAAAAATCACAAAATACCTTGATGAATCATTTTCAACTTTTCAACTATTTTTCAACTCAAAATTGTTAAAAAAAGAAAAAAAAAAGGTTTCACAGTAATACAGTGACATTTTGAAATGGGTTAGCCCTAGTTTACAGCAAAAACTAAGAGAAAACCTTTGAGTTCATCTGTAGTGAAAAAAGAGATGTCTGCATTATCTAATAGATCTGGAAAAGTAAAGCAAGGCAGAGAAGGTAAATATTGCCAAGTCAAGATGGAGCAACCACAAAAGAATGAGTTCTGACTCTGAACTGCTTCAATCAGGTATCACCGTAAAAGTTTGCCCACTAATACAGCCACATTCATGCAGCTTTTGTTATCATCCTCTGTTTTCGTATTAAAAAGTTGTTTTTCAGTTCAGTTATACAGAATACAGTTCACACATAATGTCGCAAGGGCTCATCACAGAAACCCAGCATTTTGACTTTAATAACAAATTGTGCTTCTGTTTAATTCCAAACATTTTGTTCCAACTTGTGCGCAAGTTAATTTTGAATTCTGCAAATTTGATCTAATGCTCTGAAAAAGCCTTCATGTTGACTCTATAATTCTACTTTATTCTGCAGTTGAATAAAGTAGAACAGAAACCAATTTATGGTTTCGTCTAGTGGTTTGTTTGTTACCTGTCAGCTGAACCTGCTGCGATCTTACTGCCGTCTGTGGACCAAGAGCACCTCAGCAGATTCTAAACAAACAGCACAACACGCAACAGGCTGCATTAGCAATGAGACGTGATCTGCGAGTCATTCAGAGCAGCAATTAGTTCAAGCAAACAAAAATGCATTTACTGACTGAATGATGGGTTTTCATTACAAAACAGTTGAATGAAGCTTAATCAGTGTGAAAAAAACTCCTAAAAGGTTTATAGGAGGATTACCTTCTCGAAGTTGTGCACGTTACCCTGGAAAATCTTCACGCATCTTTCCTTGGGCGCGAACGGTCGCACATCCCAGATCCGCACTGTGTGAAAGACACACAGTTCTAAAACAACAAAACTCATCCACATTATGAGCCGCGCGAAGCCCAACGCCACCTGTGTTGTCCATGGAGTTCGACAGGAGGTACGATCCCTCGGAGCTCAGGCTGAGTCCGGTCACAGAGTCGCCGTGGCCGTGCATGTTGTAGATCAGCTTGTTCTGCCGCAGGTCCCACACCTGCACGACGAGTGGGTGGAGAAACGGTTTTCACAAAGAACACGCAGGGAGCTTTAAATAGGCCATCTGATGCAGATGGTGGAGATAGTGCCGTTTCTGAGGAGCCAGAGAGCTTGCCATGAGTTCTGAGTCATGGTGGTAAAAACCAATGGTTATGAGGGGCATCAGCAGGAGACGAAGAAAACGGTGGGACTGTAGAACTTTTTTTTTCTATAAATACCCACAGAGTTTCTGGAGTCTCTCAAAAGTTGAACTGTGTTTGTTCTGTTTAGGTCAGGGCGGTTCCACTGTACTCAACAGGGCCAACTGCATACTGGAAAAATAATATTTTCTTTTCAATAGAATTGAACTAATTGAAATTCAGACAAACCTGAATGAAGAATTTCAAAGAGTTACAAATCTACCGGCTGCTCCGTTTGTATTTCCTCAGAAATACAAACATGGCCTTAAAGTGCTGCTTTGTCACTTTTCCCAGTAATGATGGGTAGCCCAGGAAAAACATGCAATTAGAGGATAAAAGATCAGAGAGCACAACATGCAACCACTTCTGAGTCTTATTTTACCCTTCAGTATAGTTCTCTTCGGACCAAAAATATTTCAACTCGCACAAGTTTATGTTTACATTTCTTTGAAGAAATGACACGTTTGGCCTGTTTTTTTTTGTTTGTTTTTTTTATGTAATAGTGCAAAATGCCAAAATACACAATGGCACAGCGTGAATAGAGAATGAAACAAAATCAGCCACAGTCTAAAGGAGCACTTTGAATCAAATTGTTCAGAAAACCTGATGAAGACCTTATGAGAGTAACAAGTAAACATTGAAAACTGCATGCGTTCAAGACAAGATGAGTTTTAAATTGTTACATTCAAAAACTATTAAAATTCTCAGTTATTTATAAACTCCGGATTAAAGTTTGTTTAATGAAACCTGAGCAAGTGCCAGAGTCCCCAGAGGTTAGGATTAGGACTCACCCTGTGGCTGTTTGGAGCACAGAGTAACATGGCTACCACACTTTTACCTCACAAGACAAAATAAGCTAGAAATATTCCCAGTGACAAAAAGTGAACAATCAAGATCTAGAAGTAGCTGAGAGACATTCTCATTAGGGTAATGCTGTTTTAAAACAACAACAACAAGTAGGTCGTGACTTCATTTCACTAATTAGCACACCAAGAAGGTCATAACAGAGTTTTAATAACCTGACTTCACTTTGGACACATAAACTCGATATTATTGAGGACTAATTCCAAAAATAGATGCTTTCCTTTATATGTTTTACGGCAGTCGTCAAGTGAAAGCTTGACCAAAAGTGCGTCCATTAAGATCACGTTTGTAATTGCATCCAGTTTTAGAGCACTTCGAGGTCGGTATCCCTCGTTAAAAATAACAAAACCTTCAGTAATGTAAACGAAAGGCAACATCTGCGCAGTAATTATGGCTATTTATCTGCCAGATGGTCCAAGAGAAAGGTCAGAAGAACCCGCTCCTGTCCGTTTAGCAAAGGTGACAACACGACTGATGCAAAAATCAAATAAACATAAAAAAGGCATAGTTCAGCTCAATGTTCACAGAAAACCAACTGCGATACACGATTGTTGATTATAGTTCACATTATTCCAACTTTGAATAATATTGCTTAAATATTATTCAATACTTAACAGGCTGAGTGGCAGATACTTCAGAAGCAGCCAGACCGGTTACTGACGTTGTTTTTGTTTCCCTTACTTGGCCTTTGCTAGTTTTTGTTGACTTTCTACATATATATATAATATATATTTGAAGCAGTTTGAATATCTGATGCTTTTCTGTTTTAAATAGTCTAAACAAATCAAGTTTCACATTTTTTATCCCTTTACTAAAGGTTGCCCTGATGCTACCATACCAGCCCATGCCTTAAGAAAATACGGGTATACAAAAGCTCACATTTTTCTCTCTTTTTCTCATCCATCATTGCTATTCTTCTAAAAGTGTCTGTGACATTTAACGTTTTACACCTCATCATCTGAGTCAGGTGTGGGCATCTATTTAAGTGAGACTCCGTCTGATTACATAACATGACATTTGGAATTTAGTACCGAGCAAATCCTGCATATGTTGTTCAGCCTTAATATAAAACAATTCACGTTAAAATTCAATTTGAAAAGAAAAAAGAAAAACTAGATAAGACTGTATTACTTTCTACTGTTAATACTGAATGTTTAATTGTCAGTACAACCATGTTTAGGATTACTTAGGATTACAGTTGTTTAATTACAGTTGTTTAATCTTTGATGTTTAGTACCTTGATATCATTGTCGATGCCTCCAGACAGAATCTGATCACTGGTGTCATTAAACGTCACGGCCAGCACCTGGTATGTGTTCTGAAAAGTGTGGATGGCCCCTTTTTTGCGGATGTCCCAAAGCTGTAACGCGACAAAAAGCACTCACATTTAATTTATGACCAACTTTGAAGTGCAAAAATGTGGCCAGTTATGCATTTCATTTCAACAGTAAGTCACTGAGCCGTTATATGGATTATTTTGACACATAACCCACCTTCACCGTCCCATCATCACTGCCAGTGCACACCAGCTGGGGCCCCCGACGAGCTGGATAGCAGGTGTTAACAAAAGAGGTGTGGCCCTTCAGACGCTTGATCCTCTCACCGGTCTCGCTGTCCCACACACCCACAGTTTTGTCTGTGCTCGCTGAGAACAACAAGCTGAAATACATAAAAACATATCACTGCCAAAAGAAGAATTTCTAAATGTCTACAGCAAACGTATCTCTAAAATAAAATAAAAAAAACAAATAAGAGAAACAACATTTTTTTTCTTCCAGAATGGGATAATCATTTCTGACTGCTGCCCCAACCTGCCATCTGTGTTATAATGCAGCTCCATCACTGCTCCACTGTGGCCCTTCAGGGTGGCGAAGTTTTCACAGTCTCCATAGACGTTCCACATCACTGCAGCAACGTCACAAAGCAAACAATATGTTATTTACTGGAACAGTGGTCCATCGAGTGCGCTCTGGTCCATTGGTTGATGGAGTTTAACTTTTGGCAATGACTCACGTATGAGCCTGTCAAATCCTGAGGAGGCCAGCGTGGCTCCGTTGGGGTGAAACTTGCAGCAGTAGACCTCGCCCTCGTGGCCTGACATCAACATGATGGGGGCCTGCAGGCTGGAGGTCCGTGGAGGGCCCTTTGGGAGCACATTTATAGTTTCGGCATCACACCCGTCTAATTCATTATGATGCAAAATCAAAAAGAATGGACTGGGATTTCGCTGTACTTTTGGTTAAAAAAATAATTTCCAAGAAGGAAAACTGACAATGTTTCATAGAAAATAATACATTAGATAAAAGCAAATTATCTCATTAATTAAGCAATCATAAGCTTACTTAGTGGCTCCCTAGAGCAGTTTTAAATTAGGATCAACTTTAAAAAGCTGTAAGACTTGAATTATGTAAAGACACGCTTTGTAACAGGTTATTACTGCTTAGGGTGATAATCAACATCCAGGTGATCATGATTAATGCCTAAATGTATTGAACTGATATTGAAAGGCTCAAAACTAAACAGTTTAGATCAAACACATCGATGTATTTTTCTTTTAGATATATTAACTTAACTAACAAGTCATCTTCCATATAATTTATTTTTTAAATAATCTCTGTATTTAGTTACTACTTTTAAATCACCCAATGAAAAGCTAATGCAAGGATTATTTATGTAAAAGAAGCAGATATGAGGGCACAGCCGCTATGGTTCGTACCGCGGCCACGAGCTGCTGGGACTGCGCCGCCGCCACCAGCTCCATCCGGGGCCGCTTCATGGCGGAGGGAACCACCGCCATGTCGCCGGCTCTCTTCAAAGGCTCAATCATCCCGGAACAGCCGAAAAAGAGCAGAAAATCCCTTAAAACGAGGTTACAGGTTATCCAAGAAAATGAATGGGCTTTGTTGAACTAAAAAGAATGTCGACGGAAGTAGCAACAACGGACAAGACGCAGCATGGGAATACTTCCGCTGGTCAGAAGGCTTCTCATTGGTCAAAGTCTGAGCCGGATGCGATGATTGGCTGTTCTGCTTCTTGCGTAGAGATTTACACCGGATGTGAAACATCCAACGTTCAGTTTACACGAAAGGTACAGCATTGACTTATATTTTCTTAGGCTTATTGTCCAGTTAACACTTTAATAATCAAAAATCTGCATGAAATATTAGGTTGAGCGGACTGCATATATGAATGTGGGTTTTTTTTAGCAGTTATGTGATACCTCCCGTCTCTGTGTTACTTGACAAAACGCAAACAGTGTGTTCCATCGATTATTATTTTCTGTATGACTCATACACCTTGCGTCCAGCAGCATTTAAAATGTACTCCGTTTAGAAGCAGATATTTCGACGTGTTTTATTCGGGTTTTATATGCTTGACCAACAGAAAGGGTTTTATATGCTTGACCAACAGAAAGTAGCGCATTGTTGTGAAGTGTACAATACGTTGTTTTTAAACGGTTTTACTGATTGTAACCTTTTCTGTAAGCGATGTCCATTTTATTCTTTGCAAAATAACAGAAGCGCAGTCAGTTTGGATAGAGAGCGTTTGGAAACCTAATTTCCTAGTCTGTCCAATTTGCTCAATTGGTTTTAGAGCTGGCCTTTAATGGCATGTGTTTTCATCTATTCCATTTCATTGTAACATGTTTAAGTTCAGTATTGAATTTTCATCCAGGATTCACCTTTATGAAGCTCTGTCAATATTCCTGTCATCTCAGGACAGCTTTTTATGTCCCTGCTGAAGAAAAGCACCTCCACAGCATGATGTTACCACTACCGTGTTTTCCCATGAGATGATGCGTTGAGACTTAGGAACTTTGGATATTTTCTTAATGTTCCTTAACGTCCTGCTCAAACTGTGTTTACAAGACAAAATGTGCTCCTCTTCCAGCCTTGTCTGTCACTGTTCAAATGAATGTGAACATTTTTAATTATCTGTAATTTTAAGCAATAAGGTTTGTTTTTTTCCCCTGTTTCTTATTAAGATATGTCTTAACAAGACTTATCTGCTTATCTTATTAAGATATGTTTAATAAGATACATTATCCATACTAAAATGGTATGTTCTGGTTTCTTTTCCATTTGAAACGTGCTTCTGTTTCAGGTCTTATTTGTACCCCAGGAAAACAGGAAGTCATGATTACAAATTAAAAGTTTGGCACTGATCAATGTAAAAATATTGCATAAGCAATGATGATGTTTTAGTTATTGCATATTTCTTAACATGGATTTTGATTACAGACCAAATAAATGTTCCTAAATTTTTGGTTTGAGAATATGCCGCTGAAATAATAATTTTTTAAAAAAATGTTAATACTTTATGCACTTCTTCACTGGTGTAAATGTTTTATTTTATTTCAAAACAGAAATAGTAGACCTTTCTATTCATTGTGCCTTCTGTTACTTTGTATATCTCTCGTCTGTCACTTTTAATGATATTGCAAATCGTAATAGCTTTTTAATTGTCTGTCAACCAGATCTACCATAAGACAGTTGTGACCCACCCATAGTTGGGAGAATGTCTGATCGAGGTGGACATGGTCGTGAGCTGGCTGGATTGGATGGTCTTCCGCCGCTGCACAGTATTGCCAAAGGAGAGGTAGTCTCTGTGCAAAGCTACGGCGCCTTTGTCCGACTGCCAGGTTACAGGAAGGAAGGTCGGTAAAACGGGCTTGCAAAGGGACTTTAAAGTAAAGAATCATAACAGGGGGAAAAAAAGTTACAAAGACAGGTTTAAGGTTTTAGGTTGGCTTTATGAGGAGGCCAATCACTATTAATAAACCAGAGTGCTCTCAAATGATGGGCAAAATATTCTTCAAAATCTTGTGATCCATGTCTCCTTAGGGAGAGACGTCTGTGGGAAAATGTTGCTTCATGTTCACAATCCAATTTCGCTCTTACTATGCATAACTTATGCTCCCCTTTCAATAAAAAATATGATTATGTTCCACAAATCTATGCTTATATGCTAATGATATATGTTTACCAAATAAACACACACATAATGTGTAATGGAAGGCATAACTAGGGAGCATACTCAAGAAATATGAGAGTATTTATCATCCGAAATCTATATTTAGCGTATGAGTTACATATTTGATGATGCCTTATTACTGGCCACTTTGGAAAATTGCTAATGCTTTTCACCACTAGAGGGCACACTCAGCAAAACTTTGGTTTCAGAGAAAAGTTAAATAAAGCCTAAGAGGAATAAAAATAGAACATACAATTAATTGACTTGCAATGTAATCACGTGAAATTGCATCACTTGTTCACATTTACACACAAGAGCTTGACTTTGAAGCAGTTGGACTCTTTGAGTCCGGGTATCAGGCTGAATGGAATAAAAGCCTAAAATTAATATGACATTCTTGGCTATGATGTGTGGCTATAAACATCTTAGAACAGTATGTTTTCATCCTGTAAGTTATTTTTGTGCCATCTTTATAAAAAATAAAAAGCCTCCTGTAACTCCACTATAAACAGGTTTGGTTCATGTGAGTGAGATGTCTGCCTCCAGAGTTGAAAGTGCCTCTGAGATTGTGGATGTTGGAGAACATGTGTGGATCAAAGTCATTGGGTGCGAGGTAACGACACACAAAAAAAGCACCAGAACACACAGGTATGGAATGTAAATCCAGCGTCACTGCAGTATGACCATTCCTGCCTGTCTGTCAGATTCAAGGGGACAAGGTGAAGCTGTCCTTCTCCATGAAGGCTGTAAATCAGGGGACAGGACAAGACTTGGACCCCAACAATGTTAGGGCAGAGTAAGTACTTGCAGTTTTATGTGTGTGTGTGTTTCTGCAAAGGAGAGTGTTATCCTCCTCTGTTTGTGTTTACAGTCAGGATGCGAGGCGCAGGAAGCAGTTCAGAGATCACACGAGTAACAGGATCACCCTGGAGGCTGTACTCAATACGACGTGTTCAAAGTGTGGCTGCAAAGGTGCTCCAGCATGAGTAGAACTGTAAAAGAAGGAATCAAAGCATAAAATAATATTTTTCAGACAGAAGCTGCCTCATGTCGAAGTTGTTCAAAGTCAGTTTCAGTAACTCAAGACTCCTTTCAGGTCACTTTACAAAGGACTGTTTCTCAGCTCCGGGCTTGCAGTATGCTCTTGTGCCTGAAGAGGACGATGAAGGGGCACGGGAGCAGCAGCAGACCGCCACAATCAGGCCACCACAAGACTCGGACAAAAAGAAGAGAAAGAAGGTGAATACGTTAAACTAAACAAAACCTGCCCTGCTTTCTCTTCCTGTTTATTCCTCCGACGTTTCTCACCTCGGCTGTCTGACACCTCATGTGATCTGACACGGCAGTAGCATCATAAGAACTCCTGCTTTATGCTGATTTGACAGAAAAGCTGTGACCCAGCAGTTTCATTGAGGTAATGAAACTGCGGTCAGGAAAATGATAGGATTTTTTTTTAGAAAAAGAAATGGCAGCATGCATTTGTGTCCAGCTCCACTGCAGTAATACTTGTAGAACTACATTTCCAGCTACAGCTACAAGTCATTTTATGGTATGCCTGCTTTGTGTTCTTCAGGAAAAGAAAATGAAGAAGAAGAAGAAGAGGGAGAGAAAGGAGTCAGATAGCGACAGCAGCAGCGAGTGTAAAACAAAGAGGAGGCGTCATAGCAACAGTCTCGACAGGCAGGAGAAGAAAAAGAAGAAGCACAAGAAACAGAAATCACACAAGCACAGCTGAGACAGCTGGAAAGCTACACACACACACACACACACACACACACACACACACACACACACACACACACACACACAAGAGTCTGTCACTCCACCACTATCACACATGCACATGTTGATAAAACAAAACGATAGGCTTGTGGTCTCTTATCTCGTCATTATTCATTATAAACCACAAGCTAACTATAGAAAATACAGTCATAATTTAGCGGTTTCCTTGTTTTTTTACTGGTAACACATTTCCTGTGAAAGCTCAAAGAAAAATGCTGTTTTAAAACGAAGGGTCATGTGACCATCCCCGTCTGGCCTGGAGTAACCTCTGACGCCCACAGCGATACGAGTCTTCGCCTCTTGTGTAATCAAATATGTGTAAATTATATGGCAGCAGGAGACATCAATGTTCTTTTGAAATACAGACATTGTTTACAGCTCTCCGGTTTCTGATGGAAATCAGTTAACGAGACATTGGGGGGTAAAGCTGACAGACAGACACACACACACTGTCACTCACAGACACAAACAGGAAATGTAATACCGCATGAGTGAACACCACAGGACCCTCATATTATGGTGACATTCAGATTTCAGTTTATGTTTTCATGTTGCTGTAGATGCATGTGTTTATGTGTGTATTTCCACAACCCGCTTCCTGACCTGCTGACTCCATTAAATCTGTTTTCACCTGTGAAGACAACAAAGAGCCTCCTGACTTCTCTTTGTCCAAAGACCTTGAAGTCATAATGTTGCAGTTAAAATCTGCCCTACGGCCCAGAGTACATACCAGCACAAGGTCACGTCCAGTTAATGTTTTCAAGCAAGGTGGTCGGTCAAATAGAGCTGGTCATGCTTTGCACATGAAAAGTATTCACACCCCGTTTTTCATATTTTGACATTAAAAATAGCACTGGATGTAAGTGAGCGGGATTTTTTTTTTCTCCAGATAGATGTGACGGAGAATGAAAATGATTCGTGTTTTTATTGAATCTAGTCACGTTTACTCTGAAGCCCATCAACAAATCCAATACATCAAAACTGCTCTCAGAAGTCTCATAATCTTTAAACAGAATCAATACCAATAACCTCCAGAAGTCCACCTGTTTATAACGTAATGTTATTTCAGTAAAAGAGGTTTGTTAGGGAGCACTAATGAGGCTAAATTCAAAATATTTAGTGGCAGAAAACTAGCACTGCACATTATGCTAGACATAATGCTCATGGTGAAAAGTGGTAAGAAGAGCATGAATCAGTAAGAGACTTTCTTCGGAAAGTAAATGCTGAATGTTGATGTAGCTAAATACAGACCAATTAAGAAAAAAAAGTACAAAATTAAAAACTGGAAAAGACTTGAGACTGGAGCGGAGGCTCACATGGAGGGCAACAACTATAAAGCTACAGTATAATGATAAACATCATTATACTGTACTAAATCTGATATTTAGAGATGTTCTCCATTCAATCTGACCCAAAATGGCCAGATATGTTATTCTCTAGATGTGTAAAGCCTGTGTAGCTAAATGCTGCAAAGAATTGCAGCTGGAATTGCAACAAAAGCTGATTCCACAACGCGCAGACTCAGAGTGGGTCGGGCTGAATATGGATCATCTCCACATGTTTTAGATAATTTGCAAAAAACTTAAAAGCTGCATAATTTTCTTTCTGCTTCAGAATTATGCATAGCTTGGTGTAACATTTAAGTAAAAAAAACAAAACAAGTGTGTACCCTATTTCTGATTTTTTGCTGTAACATAAGGTTGGTGAGAACCATTTTAAGCAATATAAGAATCCCAGAAAACATTCAGTTTTTTGTAAGTTTTTGTGGGAAACTTACAAAAAAAATGCTTTGCTCTGCACTGACCCAGATTCAACTTTCTGCTTGTGATATTTGACAGATTATTTCCAGATGCAGTGGTTTGAAACGGCTCCAGCACAGCCCACTGGCAATAAATTTGATCTAAAGAATCCTCTCCATTTCTTCTTCTCTTGTTTACTCCATGTGGATATAATAGACAGTCCCAAACTTTCATAACCAGAATTGTAACCCTGTTGTGGTCAGTCGTTTTGTGTTTTACTTTGTTTCTTTGGAAATGATTAATAACAATTATTGTTTTCCTAAACGTGAAATTGCTGTCCTTAAACATAAACAACAAAACTCAAATTTTGAAGGGAAACTGAAATATTTGCTTTTCAGCTACAATAAAAAAGATAATGGTACTTTTTGAAAAAAAAATGGAGCATGTTATTTACCAGAGTTACTGGGCTACCGCCTCCAGCTATACTGATCTAAATAGTGGCCAAATGATGCTGACTGACCTTCAGAAAGACATATATTACAGTAAAATGACTTAAAACTCAAGATTAGATCTCATCACAAGCTTCACATTTGCTGTACGCTTTCCTCTTTATCTCAACATCTTCTTTGGAGAAAAAAACAGACTCTTTATCAGTATAATTTGAACAGTTTGCCAGTAATAGCAAGTTCCATTTTATTCTGTCACCATACTTTATGACAAACACTAAGATCAACAATATTGTAATTATGAACCACACTGTAATCATTTATAGTTTTAACTTTGGTTTAAATAAAACCACAGAACGATCCTGTTTCTAATAAAAGTGCTTTTGTGTCTTGTGTTCATTTCTTTTTTTTTTTCCCCATTCAAAAATGTTTACAGGCTTCCTTCTTTAAATCGTAAATCATCGTTTGGTGCTGCTGGAGGCGGCACACGAGCCATGTCAGTCAGAATGAACATTAAAGGTTCTGAATATTGGTTCTTTATTAGCTGTAAGCCACAATTAACAAACATCAATAAAAATAACTATCTGAAATATCCCACTCTCTGTGTGTAGATAATAGCTATTTGAATCAGTTCGCTGAAACAGATTCACCTTTTCAGGTGTTCACTGACCTGTTCAAGAACAGGTGTGACCTGCTGAGAAGCAGTTCAACGTGGTGCGGATCAATTCATGAGTCATCGGGGCGAGACGTGCTGCGTCAGCCACGTTCCAACAGCTGCTGGATCCATACTGGGAGTTCAAAGTAAAACGTCTGGTCTGAACAGAATCAGAGAAAGAATCCACACCTCCCAAGCTCTTAAGCTTGACTAAAGTTTGCAGTGAAACAAATAATGAAAACTCAAAACACCTTTAGTCCACCGTTGTATAAATGAATGATGTGTAACTGGAAGAACACAGAAGCTTCTTTGTCTTGGTTGCACGTTATTTGTCAGGTTTACAAGGGGAACTGGAGAATTACTCCATATAAAGTGAATGATACTAAATGTCTTTCATAATTTTTTATTTTTTCCCTCGAACAACCAATCAGCAAGCTGAAACTTGGCCAAAAATCATGAGTTTGCAAGAAGACGATGATCAACAACAGTCGCTAAAACCGGCTGGGAAAGACATGAAATAAAATGAAAAGCTTCTCTGTTTTCAAAAATCATTGTTTCACGCAACCTTGAGTCTGTAAGTTTAACTGAATGAATCTTCAAGCAAAGGATATCAGGTCAGTCCGAAGACTTCCTTCAGCAACTAATCCAAGGAACATTTAAATAAATATTCATATTTGGTAGATTTTTTTTTCTCAACTTTTAACATTTCACCTCGCAAATGTTTGCATTGTTTACATTTTGATTCGGGTTTACTGCTCCAATAGAACAAAGAAAAGAGAAAAGCAAAGATCCAAGAGTGGAGCCTTGTGCATCTCCTCAGCAGAGGTGCAGGTAAACTCACAAAAACATCTCGCCAAGAAGACAAAAACCCAAGTCGGACAGCTGAACCTCAGCTGGACGCCCACTGTTCACAGCCAGGGACTTTTTGACATGCAGGCCACAAGGAAATCGGGGTGAGTGGCATCATGTGTCAGGAGCTGTCACCAACTGGTTCACTCCAACACTGTGACTTTTCCCATCAGCAAAACACAAATATCTGTAGAAATATTCATGCAGCAATCCTCCAGCTTACAGATTATGCTGTTCTAATTTGCTTAACTTTCATAATATCTCCCATTCAGTTGGTCCACCTCTAGTTAATGACACACATGTGCGATGGACTAGTAATTATGCTGGTACACTGTACGCTTTGGTAGGTCTCACATAATGCATATTTAACATCTATATGTGTTGTGTTTTTTTGGATTTTAATCTCCTAATTTCTTTGCCATAGACACTTAAAATTGGAGATTTTAAAATTGCTGGTACACTGGTAGAAGAGAATTATACATTTTACTTGAATGTCACTGAAATTTTCAAAAAGTGCCAAAAATGTAATTCCTTGGTCAGTAAGTAAACAGCCTACAGAGCGCCTTGTCAAAAAGTCGCTACCACTAACAAAGGTGAGGAAGATCAGGTGAGTAAATATCACACCAAAAATTGTTATCTATGTAATATATTGTACCCACCACTGGGAGCTTGTTTCCATCAACTTCCCTGACCAAACTGGTCTCCTGACAAACCCTTTTTTTTCGCTCCACATGTAATAAATTAGCCTATTCTACTTGCAGCAAAATGCAGCGGACACAAAATTCCCTTTGTTCTGAGAGCAATAAATGCATCAAATAAATTAAAGCAATACCCTGGAATATTAAGTGACGTTAAATGATTCTCAACTGGTATCCCACTGGAATTTATTTATTCAACACCCTTTCTATATGGTCAAACTTGGTCAAGGTCTATGCGATATCTACAGTTTTGTCTACGTCAAATCTGAACTCTACTGTAAAAATGTAACTATGAACAAAATCAAAGTCCAATGAAACATTCATGTTTATAATTAATTTTGATTAACTTCCAACAGTTTCCTCCAAAAACTGGACACATATGGGTGGATTTAAAATGGGACACATGGGACGATTAAATATGGGAACATATTTAATCGTCCCATGTGTCCTTAACATGGGACAGACATATGGGAGGATTTAACAGTTGTGGTCAATGAGTATCTTTAGTGGTGGCAGACAGGAGATGATCTATCTCCTTCCCTGCCCTTTCACCCCTTAACCCTGCATCCAGTTGGCTCTGAGTTATTACCACATGATCTGAGAGGGAGGGATACAAATTTAGATCTCACACCTAATGCACAAATAGAGGACATAACGTTTCCCTCATCCTGAGCAAACACTCTGATCAAAACTCCCCACACCAAGGGAAAATATACACACTCTTACATAGACACAAAGGATTTTTTCTTTTAGGAGCTATAATTAACTTCAAGTACAGCCAATTGTGATGGAAACTGGTTGCACGCAGTTCTTAGCTGTCAACTTTGAGATCCAAGTATAGTTCAGCAGGTTCAACAAGCAATACATTTATTTAATTATGGAAGTTATGACCTTGGACGGAGGTACTTTATTAAAAATTAATTTGTTCAACTGCAACAGTAAAAAGTGAATAACCTTTAAACAATGACTTAAAAGGCAGCCTGTATATTAAATAGAAAAGACTGGTTTACCTGTTTGTCATTGTTTCCTTTTATTTTGAATATTTGAGATCATAACATTTTCAAAATCCAGAAATGTGCCAGGTTTTTTAAGCACCATGCAAAATACTGTACTTTTAATATGTATATCTATATAGATAAAACAAAAAACAAAAAAACAATCAGCAGTTTTATTGAAAACAACAAATTTTTGGAATTTATTCAGTGTTTTAGTAGAGGGACAAACAAAAAAGAACTAGCAAGAAAAAAGGAGAAGTTTACGAAACAGGCAAAGTCAAGGTCAACAGTAACAATAACACTGAAGGTACAGTAAAAGGAAACTAGCAGCCATACATGGCGTTTTCTTGGCCTCCTTACTACAGAGTAGTACGAAGTTTTGGGGCTTCAGCCGATGCAGTACATTCTCCATGGTGGGTTTCACTCTGCTTTCTCGTAGCGACGTGTGCAAACCACATCTCCAATTTTAAGTGTCTATGGCAAAGAAATTAGGAGATTAAAATCCGAAAAAACACAACACATATAGATGTTAAATATGCATTATGTGAGACCTACCAAAGTGAGCTTGTTTCCGTCAACTTCCCGAACCAAACTGGTCTCTTTACCGTCCCACTTCTGTACGTGTACCAACTTGCCGTCCTCTACTGTCACTAGGGACTTTAGAGAAAAAACAGAAGACAGATTTAATACATGGAAATATGGAAACACAAATAAAGCAACATGAAGTCACTTGTTTTACTTGGGCACTTAATGAAATAAACAGATTTGAGTGCCATTTTAGTCTAAGCAAAAATAATAATAAAAAAAATGTATGATGCAACAATAGAAATTAAGGTACATTTTTCAAGCATTAGCTATGTTTCCATCTCCCAATGAACCATTGCTTTAAAATCAAGTTATCATTAAAAAGACTCCCCAGTTAAAATTACATGAGCTTGGCAAGATAAATTACTTTTAGTCTGACTAAAATTTTAGATTTAAAGTCTCTACATTAGCTGTGCTAAGCTAAAAGGGTAGGTAAATATATATATATAATATATATATATATATATATATATATATATATATATATATATATATATATATATATATGTATTTTTTCTATTTATATTAATAAATAGAAAAACGTTCTATTTATGCTAATATTCAAAATTCACTTTTACTTTAAATTTTCTTCTGAAAGGAAAAACTATACTTATGAAATACCTTAAATGTAAATCTTTTAAAGAATACCATCTGCTAAAAAAATTTGATTTAAAAAGTAATTTCATTCATCCACAAAAAAAAAAAAAAAATTGAAAACTGAAATTTGGTTATTGCCTCTGATCAGGGCTGAAACAATTCCTCGAGTGATTTGAGTTCCTTGATTGTTAAAATTCCTCGAGGAAATTCTGTCGCTGAATTATTATTTTATTTAGCGCACCCCTTTCCAGCTGGGTTTTTACAGCCCTTCCTCTGAGTGTCATCGTCTAGTCAATTATAGAACTAAAAAGCCTTTGACCTCTCACCTTGACCTTCCTGTCATCTGCAGTGGTCTCGTCAAACTCCTCTCCAATCTTAAAGGAAAGCTCCGTGTTCTTAATGCTGCTCTGAGTCTTCACGGTCACCGTGTCGCCATCCACAGAGATAACTGTGGTGGGTTTAGTCATGTTGCCTATCTTGCGTGTTGCGAAGCCCACACCTGAACAAGAAACAGACAAATGCAAATCATCAGGGACAGTAAAAAATAAAATAAACATTTCAATTGCTTGGCTACTGTTAGATTTGACGCCTGCTAGGCATGCCAAGGCTGAATGACTTTCCGCAAAGTTCATGTCACGTTTCCTGAAAACAATGACTATTTTATAGGATTTTCAGAAGAATTAATGTGCACATTTATGTTTTTGCGTATTTTACATAATTTATAAGCGGTCCCATTACACTTCACCATCCCACAGGGTTCTATACTGGGCCCCCTTCTGTTTTTCTAAAGTCAATCTTTAAAGAGCAGAATATTTTCTTTCATGACAACATACAAACTAAGCTTCTCCTAAAACTAAAAAAGAAAACTCTTAAAAGCATTTAATCATGGATTTATATCCACAGATATAAATCTGTACCAAATTGTAGATTTGGTAAAGTAGATATTCAATGTAAAGTTGGCGCTAATTTTGTGCAGCTGAGTTTTTACTGAGTGACTTGTTTTAGGATGTACTTAATTTTTCCTTTGTCAAATTAATAAAGATGAGAGAAGACATGTTTTGATGTTTTAAAACCTAGGTAAAATGACAACATGCTATAACCCAATAATTATGGGTGACTATTGATAAGCTAAATTGGCTTCAAAGTTACACTTGGATAGCTGAAGCTCGTTCTGATGAAAAAGTCCAAAGTTCGGACTGGAACA